TTGTTGAGAGAGATTGGTGGCGAATCGTCGCAGTGCCTTCGAGTCCTAACACATTCGTCTTGCTGCAACTCTTCAGCCAAACTTACCATGAGTGGCATGATCCCCAGGGAGATTGACTTGCTTCCGTTCTTCTCAACTTTGAATGTGAGCAAGGAATAGTTAGGTCAACCGACCTGACCAAATTCTTCTGTAACATAATCGTTGTTCGGGGAGACTACTTTCGTACGCTGGGGGCTAATAGGACAAGCCAATAGATACAAGTGTTGGTTGCCTTTCAAGGACCTGCCTGTCACTTGTGTTGTTCCTGTTGGCTTGCAAATAGCGTGTAACAGTTTTGCTAAGGCGTGCAATTTAGCAAACTAACTACTCTAGGACTCAATTGATATCACATGCAGATGTCTCCTGGCAGACCATAGACGACAACTGGAAGTTCCAATGGTGCAACGCTCAACATTTAAGTAATAACCCTTCTTACATCTACTTCCTACTCACACGCTGTGGGCAATGAGGTGAACAAACATCAAATTGAATAAGGGTTGCCCAGTTTAGAACGCAGCAGTTCCTCTCGTTTCTTCGTCAGAGACCAACCTTGGAATTTCTTACCCATCTCCCTCATTTTGGATGCATCACAGCTGTATGCAACAGCCTTTTCCTGCTGTCCTGGCTGTCCTTGCATACCAGAAGAGCTTGCACTGTCGGCGCCGGAAGCTGATTCGGCGGACAGCACCTTCAACGTAACCTGAGCAGGACTCGCTTGATCTTCAACCTGCTCAGCGCTGCTGCTGTTTCCTTCCGTGAACGCCGGGGCATTGTAAATCAGCGAACGTCTTTGTTGTCTGATCGTGTGATGATGCCGCCCGATGATTCCTGTAGCCCTTTGGACACATCTCGGAAGATGTTCTCGTGCTCCATCTCGGACAGTTTCCTGTCCGCGTTAATGCTCGCCATCAACTCGCTGTCATCGCCACCCCAATCAATTGCATGGTTCTTGGTGTTGCTTCATCATCTCTGGGATTCAAACTCAACCTTTTGTTTGTCTTGTGTCCATTTCCATGGACATCTGAGGTGTCACGCCGTCTTCCACCCCCTTGAGTCCAGGGTGTTCGATGACGATTCTCCAGCTCTTGCGGAGTCTGTCGCTGTCTTGAAATGCAGCATCCACCAGTTTTGCAATCTCACGCTCCTTATCGGCTTCAGCCATGTCTTTTCCTGCCGTTCCAGTGATCAGATCTTTGACCACATCCAGCCTCGCTGTTGCCTCTTGAAGAACTTCTGCCTTGTCCCTTGCGTCATCAAACACTCTGACGAGACGATCCACGAGGTCAATAGTCGGATCTACCACTTGCTTGGGCTTGTCAGTTGGTTGCTGAATCTTCGCTGTTTCTTTTGGTTTCGCCGTCTCTTTGGTAGCTTCTTTCGGCTTGGCCGTCTTCAATTCAGGAGTCGCTTTTGGTTTCGCCGTCTCTTGCGTTGCTGGCTTGCTCACTTGTGGACTCGTTTCGTCTGTCATTCTTGAAGCTTCTCGAAGTACTTGAAGTGCCTCCTGGATCAGCAGCTGGCCGCGCTCCTCCGGCTTCATGAATTGTTCAGGTCGAGGCTCGATTCGAATTTGAACGAGATTATTTAGCTCCTCGGCCGCGTTTTCATCTGCAGCTGCTTGCAATGCCGCCCGCTACGGCTGCTGCCTTGGCTGCAGCTTCTTCTGCTTCCTTTTCAGCTTTCAATCTTGCTTCTTTGTCTTCTTCGTTCCCCTCAAGAATGTCATCACTGGGATCAATGAGGTCACTCGGCACGGTCGATCCGATACACGCGTTGCATGCAATGTCACCTTGCTCTTCCATGTCATCAACGCAAAGGAAGATGTTGTCAATCGCTTTGACGACCGGGTCAGACTCTGTGGGTTCCTTCGTGAGGTCTGGCTCTTGTTCGATGTCGTCGGCAACGCTATCATTGGCGTCGGCGAGAGATGAGCCTTCTCTTCCTGCAGATGCCTCACAAGGAATCAAGGGAACTTCAGGGGCAGTACCGCTCATGAGTCCATGATCGAGAATATCAGATGCAGGTGTCGTAGCACTGCCTTCGTCTGCCTCTGGGATAGGCGTGAGAGTACCGGAATGACCAAGGACAACCAGTTGTTCTTTGCGCCTTCTCTCTGCCTTGGATGCATCTTTCTCCGCCTTGGATGCATCTTTCTCCGCCTGGGGCGACTCCGTATCGTTTGCTTCTTCTTCAGGCGTCTTCATGAGGTCTCCCAAGAGCATTTCTTCCGTCTTGTACTCGGAAAATCCTTCTTCCATCTCATTTCGTTCGGACATGATTTTTTCCAGAGCCAACTTGTGCAACTCTTCCTTGGAGTACCGGGACAATTCTTCGGGAGTCGCAGAATCGGACAGAATGGTGGCAGCGGACTGAAGGGCATCGAGCAACTCGGATGGCCTCATCTGCAAGGATGGAGGCTTGATCTTGGTGTTTGTGGTCTTGTGTGTATCTTCAGACATGTCACTCCTATCAGCGTCAAATGCATCGTCCTTGGTTTCTTCCACGCCGCCCTGGTCCTTCTTTTGTTGTTCCTCTGCAACAATCTGTACTTGCTTGTTGGCAGGCGCCACTCTGGAGCTTTCCCTCTTGATTTGGTAGCTCTGCAAAATGTCATCAATCTTTTGTCTTGCCATGGCCATTTGTTCCTCCATGTTGTAATGTTCCATGAGTGTCTCCATCTTTCTTGTTTTGAGAGCCACTTGGAGGTCATCAAAGAAAATGATGAGTCTGTCAATCATTTCTACAATGGGATCCGAGTCCACTCCACTCTTGATGGTGAGCGCTTCCGCATCCGGTTTAATTTCTCCTGTTTCCAAGATGAATGCATCCATCATCTGCTGGAGCATCTCTTCTGGAATGACGGTTCGAAGCTTGTCCGCAATGGTCTCCACGGGGGTGTACGTTGGCACGGAAGCAGTCTTGGCCGATTTCGGGGCGGCCTTGGTGGTGACATCCTTTTGCTGCTTGGGCACGCTCTTGTTTTCCTTTGGCGCAGCAGCAGGAGGATCACTGAGCTCCGTGATGGAGTTGTCCTTGACCACGGCCACAGCTGTAGATGTAGCAGCCACAACTTTGGATTTGGTATTTGTCTTGGGGGGCGGGGGTGGTGGTGGTGGAGTTTGATTCTTGGTGGCAGCCTTGGTGTCGTCTTTTGGTTCGGTAGTAGGAGCCGGGGCGCTGAGGTCCCTGACCGAATTTTCCTTGCTGACCATGTAGTCTTGTTTCTTGGGTTCTCCATGATCCGCTCCTTCCCGTTCTTCCTTGGATGGAGTGGACAGCACCAAATCTGCTGGAGGCTGGACACTGCCGCATCCAATTTCTACGCAGGGGTTACGGCAGACTCTGTCTGTGACGCATTCCAGCGCTTTGTTGACATCCAAATTGTCGGGGACATCATACAAGCAACCTTCGCTAGTCGTACCATCGGCCCTAGGAGAGCTTGCCTGCTGACGGACGTCGTCTAGGAACAAGAAGAACGTGTCAAAAGCTTTCTCAATGGGATCTTCGCGTTCTTCTTCTGATGGAGCTGAAACTGGAGCTGGAACAAGAGTAGGTCGATCCTTGTTTTCAAATCGAACCGTGCGCTTCTTCATCCCGTTCTTGTCCATTGTGGGACGGGTCGAGCCATGAAACGGACCAAAAGTCTCCGGAGTCCCATCGTCTCTTCCGTACAACGGAGTCTCCGAGACCTTGGGAATGGACGTTTCCACGTACGCACCCTGGTAAGCAGCACCCTGATGATGCTCAGGCAACCTCGTTCGAAACTCCACCATGGTTTCACTCAGAGCAACCAACAATTCACCTCTCTTCCAGCAAGCTAAGTTTTCGAATTGTGCTCCACTCTTTTCTCCTGACTGACTGATCCTACCTACCGTACTGCCAGACCTACACTTCAACGGAAGCATAGGAAACAAAGCACACAGCCTCATTTGTTTACCTCGGCAGGAATTCCAACCGTTTCAGGAGGTGTTACATAGGTAACGGAGAAGCTAAGTACCTTGCATCCAACGCCTTGAACGGATTAATCTGGAGGCGACTGTGTCGCAAAGAGAAGAGAGCTAATGGTTTGAAGGAACTTGAGTACCGGATTCAAGCCAGTCAAGACATAGTAATTAGTAAATTATCGTTGAAGTGTTGGTACTTAGTGGGTATATAGAAGAAAAGCTACTAAGTAATTTCAAATGTCATCGACAAATCCATGGTAATTAAGCAGTAGCATATTTGCTTCCTGTCGGCTCAATCTGCGACACAATTTGTTCATTTTTCATAGGTACGCCAACCTGCGAGCGCCGACTTGGATTTGTACAGCGTACCGCTTCCGAATCTAAAACGGGGGTTTGATGCTTTGCTGACGCACAACACAGGTACCAGGTACTACCGGTTGCTGTACTACCCTTGGCCTGACTCTTGCCCGGCACTTTCTTCTTACTAGCTAGTAGTAGTAACCTGGTACCATAAGCCTTACCATATCTTTGTTTCCAGGCCCCATCTTGGGTCCACCAGTAGCCACGTCGGGTTCAGGAGCTCCTGGAACAAAATGCATGGTACTGCACAGACCACATTTCAGAATAATACTCTTTTCGACCCATACCATGACGCAGGATCTACCGTACATCCAACTCCAAACCAAGCCCATCTCTAGGCTTTACTCTAGCTCGAATCTAGCAATCTAGAGTGAGTAGTGCACATCTTGCCAAAGATTGTTTCTAAGAAAAAAAACTCAACTGCATCGTACGGTAGTTAGCTTTCTGCCCAAGCTGAGAATAATTGAATTCCAACACTAGATGCCGCGGTACCGGTAGTGATCCACCTGCATTCCAAGATTGGATGCTTGAGTATCATTATGACTGCACAGCTTACCAGCTCTACAGGCTACTCTGGTACGTGTAGGAGGTCTGCCTGTCGTCCTGTTTTGCAGTCACCCATTCACCCATCATTTTTCTTTTTCGAATGCAAAATCCATAGCAACTCCCCACTCCCCATTCACAACAAAACAACCAAGTCTTGTGGATGAAGATGAGGATGTCTTTGTATGTGAAGTTGCTGTGTCCTACTCTGGTGTGGGCTGTGATGATCCATGGATTTCCATCGCCTGTCTTACCGGTACATGTAGTATTGAAGCCTGTGAAGGTTTTGTCTCCCTCCTTCATGGTTACAAGTACAAGTAGTGATAGTGATGATGATACTAGTAGTAGTAATGATGGCAGTCAACGAGAGTTGTTGGAGACGTTGGACTCTGCCTTTGACTATGAAGGTCGCGTGGATCCTCGTTTGACGAATCACGATTTCCGGAGTGGCTATGTGAGTGTGATTGGCGCTCCCAATATGGGGAAATCCACCTTGGTGAATGCCTTGCTAGAAGAGCCGTTGTGTATTGCAACACGCCGACCGCAAACGACGCGGCATGCCATTTTGGGAATTCTGACAACCACCAATTGTCAATTGTGTTTGTTGGACACGCCGGGTGTCATTGGCGAACCAGCATACAAACTACAAGAAGGAATGATGGAAGCCGTACAAGGCGCTCTGCAATCTGCCGATGTGCTGCTGGTTGTCACGGATCTCTTTAGTACTCCCATTCCCAATGATGAACTGTTTCAAAAAATACAAACACAAGCCAATTTCAGACCCGTCATTGTCGTCATTAACAAAATTGATCTCATTCACAAGATATCAGCATCCACAACCAAAAACACTGATCAAACAAAGGATGATGAAACCACAAAGACGGTCACGGTCGAACAAGCCGTTGCCAGATGGAGACAAATGATTCCACAGGCCATTGCCATTATTCCCACCTGTGCGTCTTCTGACGACAACTCCAACAATAACCAAAAGAAGGAGGATCCAGGAGTGACGGCACTCCGTAAAATCCTCGTGGGTGGACCGGATCTACCGGCTGCCATTCGAAACTTGGGACGACCCATTCCAGGCATGTTCCCAGCCGACGACACCGTGACCATGTCCGATGCACAAGCACAACAGTTATTGCCGCTAGGACCTCCTCTCTATGACAAAGACATGTACACGGATCGGACCGAACGGTGAGACAGACAAAACTTCCTTTCTCGTGACTCTGTATTGCCTTCACTCGTCTCTCACACTTTCATTCATTCATTCATTCATTGCTTTCCGTCCAGTTTCTTGGCTTCGGAAATGATCCGGGCGGCACTCTTGGAAACATTTCAAAAGGAACTACCTTATTGTTGTGAAGTACAAGTCACGGCATTCAAGGAACAACAAACCAAACTCATCAAGATTGATGCCAACATTTTTGTAGAACGAGACTCCCAAAAGAGAATTGTCATTGGAACACAAGGAGCCAAAATCAAACAAGTGGGAATGCTCGCCCGGGAAACATTGCAAGACTTTTTTCAAACCAAAATATATCTACAACTGCAAGTCAAAGTCGACAAGGATTGGCGAAAGCAAGAAGACAAACTCAAACGGTTTGGGTATTTACAATAAAAGAGCAACAATTACAACAACAGCAAGCTGTGATGCGTAGCTCGAATGGGGTTGCATGCTTGGATGGGGGGCAAAAGAGTTCGAGTGTGAGTGAGTCGAGTCCAGTCAACAGGGAAAAGCAGCAAGGCACAAACCCATTGGATCTACAGTATGCTTGGCTCGAAAGGCTTTTTTTGTTCGTTGATTTGATTGGATTCGATTCGATTCGGGCAACAGAAAAGCATCAAAACAAGCCAATGAGACACTTTCTGCTACATATGCGTTCGTGTTTGGTATGATACCGCTAGCTACCTAGCTAGAGACGACCCGATCGAGTGCGATGGCAGCCACTCGCTGGATCCAGAAGGACGATGTCTGTAGAAATGTGTGGCTTCCACTCGACTGGACTGCGACTCGCTGATTCATAGCCCCACCATCGGTCATGATTTGAAATCGCGCAGTCGGATCGAAAACTGGAAAAGTGGGAGGGTACGGTAAACTGTAAAATGGATGGTCTATAAGATTAGTTTGCTTTGAAGTCTATGATAAAGCGTTTATCGAATGATTCGATTCCCTATCCCCGAATTGCCGTTGCTGTATCTTGGGTAACGGCTCTAATATCGAATGCCCAGGTAGTTAGTTTGTTTGTTGTAGGAGTGCGTAGAATGTTGCTTTCATTGTTTGTGTGTATGGTGAGTGCTGAGTTGTGTCTTCTATAGATCATGTTGCGTTGTGTTTCGTTTGTGTCGGTTGGAGCAATAAATAGTAGATGTTCGTAGTAGTAGATATTGGTTGTAGTTGCCAATGCTGCACCGCTGCACCGATGGGATGATCGCCTCATAAGGTACTCAGCTGTTGGCATGCTAGCTTGTCTAACTTGCTTGTAGTTGTAATGGTGTTGTAGCTTCTCGACAACTCCTTCGTAACAAAATTGTGGGGGGCCCAATAGGTGTCAGCATGTTGCTGAACGGTCATGTAATGGACGTGAACTTGAGCGCATTGATTCATGGCCGCAGGGCTTTAGGCTGAAGAGGCCATTCCACCCCGCGCCATCTGTTGCTGTTCTTGTGTTGTCTTTTCTAGTTGAATGTGCGCCGCGTGATTGCCGATCCGTCGTCTTGTTGCGACTAGATTCGTTGGCGTTTTGCAGGGTTTTCTTCTTCCTCAGGTCGATCAGATGCTTGAGTATCTGGAGGGTGGTGATGTGCGGGTTGGTGCTCAGGATGAGGTGTTGGTGGAGCGTGATGTGGTGGTGGAGCATGATGCGGGGGTGGATGTTGGTGGTGTTGTTGATGCGGCGGCGGTGGAGCGTATGGGTGCTGATGGTATGGATGCGGTTGATGCGCAGGTGGCTGATGCGGAGATGCGTGCGGATGAGGGTGCGTCGAGGCATCAGCGGGAGCAGGAGCCGGCGCCGCATGTGGGGGGTATGCATGAGGTGGAGGTGCGGCATGAGGCGGAGGGGCTCCATGATGTGGAGGTGCGGCATGGGGCGAGTATACCTGATGCGGTGGCGGTGGCGGTACACCTGGCTGAGCATACGCTGGTTGATGATACATCTGCCATTGCTGATGCTGTTGGTGATGATGATGTGGGTGCTGTTGGTGGTGGTAATGATGATGAGGGGGTGGTTGATGCTGCTGATGTTGATGCTGCTGTTCTTCTTGTTGCTGCTGTTGCTGTTGTTGCTGCTGCTGTTCCTGTTGCTGCTGTTCCTGTTGCTGTCGTTGTTGTCTCGCAGCCGCTGCGGCTTCTCCTGCAGATGGAGCCGGAGGAGGCGCGGGAGCCTGAGCTGGAGGCGAGGTAGTCAAAGGTGCGGCTGCGGCTGTCTGGGCCACCTGTCTACTCCTTCGCTGTTGTGCCGCAGCTTCCCCTGCAGTCACTGGTGGTGATGCTGTCGGAGCTTCAGCTTCAGGCCTCGCTGGCGGCGGAGGGGGAGGGTGCTGCGGATGGGGTGCAACTGGAGGCGGAGCAGGGGCCACGGGCGGAGGATGATGCGGTTGTGCTGGATGATGAGGTGGGGCATGATGGTGAGGTGGTCCTGGAGCAGGTTGCACAGCAACCGGTTGTCCTGTTTGGTAATGTGCCTGCCACGCAGCATAGTGTTGTTGACTGTGTTGATGCATTTGAAAGAAATACTGCTGGTGTGACTTGAGTGCACGCTGGTGCTGTTGTGCTGCGTAAGCATAATACTGTGCCTGGTTTGGATCCATTCCTGGCATTGCAGGATTCACAGGGGGCGGGGCGGCGGCGACGGCTGCCGCTGCTGCACCGTCTGTATTGGCATATCCAGGAAACTGAGTAGCCTCTGTCCCGTCGTACTCTGCCATTTCTAGCCAGTGTATTGTCGTTGATTCGCATGATACTTTAGCCAGAAAGGTACGACTCTCTGCAATGTCATTTATATCATCGCCGTCTTCGTCGCTTCTCTTCTTCTTTTCGCTCTTGGACTCATCGGAGGTTGGCACAGTGGTGTGAGAAGAATCAAACGAAGAGGAAGTAGCCGGGGTTCCTGTCACAGCATCCTGTCCAGCGTCAGCATCCTCAGCCTTGAGATCTCCCTTGTCCTCTTCTTTAGTAGGCGTTGTGGTTCCACCAGGTGCAATAGATCCTCCAACCAACTTGCTTGGAGCAGCCACTACAGTATTGGGATCTGTCTGGTCCAGGGCACTCAAGATAACGTAGACAGTACACCAAGGAAGCTGACGATGCTTGTGACGTTCTCGACAGAAAGATCTCGTCCGGTTGGTCTTTTTGCAAGCAGCACAGACAGGAGTTTTGGGATCAAACGGTTTCTTGATGCAGTATGGTTGCCACTGAACCATTCGTACAGTGAGCGGTTTGTCAACGTACTTTCCATTCTCATCCGTGCAAGATGCATCCAGGGTGATACATATAAAAGCTGTTGTCCATGGAGCAGAAGTGTGCGCATTGCGAACCCGACACATGTCCCTGGTCTTGAAGTTCTTCTTGCATTTCTCGCACACAGCCAACCGAGAGTCTGGAAACTTGACATTGAGAGAGTGACGGAACCCAGGCGGAGTGAAGGTAAGGATGTTCTAGGAGGTGCAGAGATAAGCAAAGCTAGCTAGTTAGCACAAGCCATGCACGGGGAATGAGCTGCATGCGACCAATCACTTACCCCATGAGACGTTGCCTGTGGGAACATCATTTGCTAGAAACCCCAACATTGCAGTAGGACAGAAACAAAAGGAAAAGCACCAAGTGAGAAATCTGACTTGGGAAGCTAAAAGATCGTGCAACGTGGAATCCATTCCACGAAGCGGCGCCAGCACGCAGTGGAAAGATCCGGCGACGTCGACGATTCGGTGTCCTTCTGCGACAAATTTTGCCCAATCAAAAATGCCAACGGCTTTCACGACGGTTAATAGAGCCGATCTGTCCGTCGTTCGGACAGAGACGGGTCGGAGTGGTTCCGAAAAGCTTTCGCAATGGTTGCTTCAAGAAGGACGCCGCTGTTTGGATGAACGACGACCGCCATGGTGATCTTTCAGTGCCACGGTTTCAACACAAGCTTCTTCGGTGTATGCTCCATTGCAGCGTAAAAAGCCAGGGAAATCCGACCTTCCTGGACCAAGAGAACGAAAAAATTGCCAATGGAAGGGAAAGATCTCGTTCAAGGAAAACCTACCTTGTTGTCCGTCCGGAACGTCGAATACGGCGGGAGACTCGACATGGTGCGGCAGTTTACTCGATCCCTTCCCACGCACTCGTTGCCGCCGTCGGCTTTTTGACACTGGCAGCAGCTATTGTCGCCTCTTGCTGCTGCAATCCTTTTGTAGCTGCTTTCCGTCGTGTGACGAGGTAGAGACCAAAACCCTCAACCCTTCTTGTGGCGCTCTGGTGCTGCAGTACCAGAGTGGCAGCTAATTTTTTTGCTTTTCCCTGAAATTTAAGAAAAATAAATTTTGCGCGGGCAACCGAGCAATGCGGGCTTCAGGCTCCCACCAGAATCCCTGCGCGAAAGTGCAAGTACGCAAGCGACGAAACCGAATGGTGTGACTCGACTCAATGATCCAAGGTTTGCCACAAGGCTGTCACATCCAGAGCCCAGGAAACGAATTTCAGGTTGGAGCAGTGCAGAAGTACAGTATGCATATCAGGTACCTGGTAAACACTCCGAAAGCAAGCTATTCAGAGCATGCTTGGGGCGTGCAGGCTTGAAAACGAACTCAGACCTTTGGAATTGCAGCTGACAGCGGCAATGAGATCTGACGTGGAGCAGCCGTGACAAGCAGGCAATCGCAAAAGATGCACACCGATGTCTTTCAACAGCCTGCAGCTGAACACCCAACTGCCAGAGGCCTGCCAGATGCTTACCGAGAGCTATGCTGACGATGTGGCATCCCACAAGCCTCCCAAGAGCCGCCCATGTAATACTACATGCAGCTGCTGGTACCGGTAGCTACTGGTAGTACATGTAGGTACTAGAATGTGCGCAGTCAGTGTCAAATGCATCTAGCTAGCTAGTAAAAAGCTATTGATGGAGCTAGACTAGAGCCTAGAGCAATATCTGGCTTCCAGTTTAGCAAACTTTGAACCAGGCTCCCGTGACGAGGAAGAAGCTAACAACTGCAGCGAAATAGTAGGTTTCACTCGCTCCCGTTTCAGTTTGCGGCAAACGAAAAAGCAAACAAACCCAGCAACTCTTTGAGTTAGCTACAGTAGGTACCACCACTAGCTAGAGTCGAGTCCTCGTCTATGGTCGCACTTCTTCTATCCTCGCCAGCCAAAACCCATGCTACGAGTGATACTATGTACGAGCTAGCTAGAGTGGTGCAGAGGATCTCCCCTCCCCCGCTGGTTGTCACGGGCAGACCAAGAGCAACGCCTGTAGCAGACTACAGGCTCCGTCTCTCGCCCGCACAACAACTCGTTTCCAGAGCACATACAATGTGGAACTCTTTAGCGTGACGTCCAATGAGCCTTCAGGAAACCAAAGCAATCCCGTACAAAAGAGCTTGATTGGGGGACAATTTGCTGCGCGGGGCGAAGAGATTCTTGAAAAAGCATAAGCAACTTTGCAGGCTACAAAAGGCCCGGCAGGGTCTGCCCGTTGCCACGGAGTAGAGGGTGGGGGGATTGGCGGCATGTCAAGCAAACCGCATTGAGATAGGACACACTGTAGAGGAGAGGCAGTGTCTTGGAGGGGAAGGCAATATCTGGCCGCCCTTCAAAGTCATGTGCTTGCTGTGTTTGGCAGAGGGGCGGAGTCCTCCTTTATGTGGTTACAATTTTTGGACTCTAACTCAAAGGGTATGTGGATTGGACCGGCAACCTTCCTTCTCATGAAAACCCGAGTCTGCATGAAGCGCAACCTTCATTATCATGAAGTCTATGCATGTTTAAAGAGGTGGAAATTTCCAACTAGAGGTATTGAACCGCCACAAATCTTTTTTGTGTGGAAAGGAATCAGTTGTCCCGCATCGCCAGTGATGTCAGGTAGCCACATGCAGTTGCTAGAGGAATGTACCATAGGTGCGTTGCTAAGTCATCGCTACCGATACTTGTATTCCCTTCATTACTTTTGTCACAAAATACTCCATATCATTGCCTTGGTCATCCCAAGCCACCCCCCTTTGGACAAATCCTCCATCGACCGGAATCCGTCGTCCTCGACGTCGTCAAGTCCGTGCTCGGGCAGGTTTTTGTCGTCAGGGGAGTGATCACGAAGAAACGAAGCGTCATGGCGGAAAAGTGGGTAGACCGCGATTTGAGCGAAGTCGAACAGGATGCTGCAGTAGAAAGCAAAAGGTCCGAATCCGGAGATGACGAACCAGAGGAACAAGCACCACACGATGCAGACGCAGTGGAGGCCGCTTTCAGAAATGAAGCTGGCGACTTCGCGCCCTTGTCGATTGCTGAAGACGATGATCGGAAGCCACCAGCGCGGGAAACAGGTAGCTCTTTTCAGGTTGATGATCTTGAGCGTGACCCCTTGTCGATTTCGGAAGACGACGATCGGAAGCCACCAGCGCGGGCGGTAGAGAGGTCTTTTCAAGTTGATGATCTTCAATCAGGGCACCTCGACAATACGTTATTTGCACTCGAGTCGGGAGATGAAGATCTGATGGGACCCGCAAGTAAGAGGGCTCGAACTACTCAGGCTAGTGGCTTTGCGTCAATGCCGAGTCACGACCATGCTCATCATTTTCAAATGTCTATGCACTTCCCATATTCACCACCAGTGAACCATCCAGGTGCCCCCCGGTTTCCAGAAGCGGGTTATGAGTATCCTCATTATGCTTCCATGCCACCGGCACATGCTCCGTCATCTTCAGGGTATCCAAGTCACCATCATTACCCACCCAGTCAACACGCCATCGAGCGACCGATGCCACATTCCTCCCAACCCGGAATGGTTCAAGGCGTGGCCTATGGCTCACCAGTCGCAGGCACCCGACCTCGCACTGCAACGGGGGAGGACACGAGAGAAGTGCCCTCGCGGGGACCTACGGATGATGAATTGGAAGAAGCCAGAACGGAAAGGGCTAGGAATGCTTTGCACACGTGGTATCATCGTCTCAACGACTTGCGCCAGTATAGGCTGGACCAAGGAGACTGTAAGTTACAATCCGTTCTTCTTTTTACCTTTTTTACGTTTTTCCTCCCTGTGTTTTCACCGTCACCTCCGTTGCTTTGCAGGCAACGTCCCACAAAAGTACGAGGGGAACAGAGAACTTGGTATCTGGGTCAACAAGCAGCGCATGGAAAAGAAATCATTTGACGAGGGCAAGAGAACGTCCATGACGAATAGGAAGATTGCCGCCTTGAACAACCTTGGGTTTGTGTGGGCGAAGCGCAAGGGGCAAGCAGCATGGGAGGAGAAGTTCCGAGAGCTCTTGGCTTACAAACGCATTCATGGCAATTGTGAGGATCGTTCATCTGGTGGCTCTGCGCGTGCTTGAGTACCTCTTACACTCAACTCAAACTTCAATCTCTTCTGGTTCGCTGTACTCAGGTGAGGTCCCGACCAAATATTCGGCGAATCCAGCTCTTGGGAGATGGGTGAGCACTCAGGTGAGTACGAAACGAAGCTATCTTGACAGGATTGTCGCTTGGGCATCCTTGCTTGGTAGCCGCCGTGACGACTGATCTAATCTCCCGCGCCGCTCCAGCGATCCGCCTACAAGGACTTTATCGAGACTGGCGACACGAGCAAGATGACAGACGAACGTAGAGCTCGCCTAGAGAGTGTTGGATTCAAGTGGAAAATGATGAACAACGGTTGAGAAGCAGAGATCAAACAAGCGCAAATCTGGCTGGGGCTGATGGCCAGTGCAAGGGTTGCTTATTCGCGCAGTTCGCCCCCTCTCGAGAGAAGCAAGAGTGAAACCGACAAATGGATCTATGGTTGTTTGACTATGTACACACCATCAGCCCAGGAGTCAGTATGAAAGACAAGTCCATGCAGCCGCCCCTTGCCCAGCCAGCTCTTCGGTGACGCTATTCTACGTCATAGTTGCTACTATATCATTGTCAACAAGAACTACAGTAGGTGTCCCGCGGCTAGCTATAGCAAGTTAGTACCAGTAAACTGCTTCTTCCACCACATCGCCACCATGCCGCAACACAAGCTTCGCTCCGGCCTGTGCTAACTGCTTTCAATAGTAGCAAGAACTGGAGGCATTCTGGATCATGTAGTACCAGGTACCTGGTAGTAAGAACGCGGTCTCAAGTGCATACCGGTAGGAGATTCGATTGAATCGAATCATTCTTCATGATCATCACCGGCAACATGGCGCACCTCTTCTTGTTCTGTTGTACCGGTATGAATGTAAAACCGTTGCGGTGGGGTCCAGCCCCACCCAAAAAGCTGTCAGATCGGTTCCTTCACTCGAAGCTGCACGCGACTGGAGCTTCCTTCCGCCAGCTACAGTGAGCGCCTCCTCTGTACCGGTAGGCACCAGGTGGACTGCCTGCCTCTGAATCGGGTGTGCTTCCCCTTCAAACAGCTCTTGGACTGTCTCTGGAGGTCAGGAGGGAAACTGCAAGTGTGGACAAAAGTATGGCCTTGTTCGTAAAGTTTGCACGTGTTTTGTTTTTGAAGACTAGCTCGCTTACTACTAGCCTCCGCTCAAGCAAATGCAGGCAATTACAAGTTCAAGGTCAAGCAGGAAGCAGAAGCAAACCAGAAGCTTCCGCGACAACCTCCGATTACAAATTTTTAATGGCTTCAATTGGTGCCATTATTTAGCATTGATCGTAGTCTTTTCCTCGCTTGCCTTTCCCTTCGCGACTCCTCATGGCACCCAGAAACTTGGATGCCGTGGATGACATGACATTGTTGGAAATTTCCGCACGCTGTCGATCGGCTCCACGATTAGACCTCTGCCTTTAGCTTCCACGACAAACGACAACGCGATGGTGTCTACCGTACGGCTCTACGGCTCTGGACAAAGGGGGGAAAGTGTATCCTAATTTTAAGAGGTTCCTGTACTGAGAGAATGTTGCAATCTGCCTGGGCATCACTGTGTCATTGAGAGTGCCACTACACAGTGTACTGTGACAAATGAAGTAGACCAGATTTGTAGATTTCCTGGGAGACATTGCCCCACTCCCACAGCCACATGGGGTGGAGTGTGGGGGTGAATCAACGCCATGGATGAAAATTTACGGAGTACAAAGCTGAGCTAAGCTGTGTGTAAGTACAATACATTCCAAGACACAGACACACAGAGAAGAGTCTGAAAGAAGGCGGGGAATATTGCTTACTAGTATACTTACAGTAATACTTATTACTTACTTACTGAGTACTAGTACTTGCTATGAGTAAAGAATTCATCAGACATTTGAGTTGCTTGCTTTTCAGAAGTTCAGTAGTCACAAAATCCACGACACAGAACAGACGATGATGGAAGTGTTCAAAATACACCAGAAAGTTCACCTGCCCTTTTTGACAGCCTTAGGTATCCGTATAATATCCTTACGGTCGGACGCTGGTCACAAATAAGCACTGAACAATAAGAGTGGTACAGGTAAGCTCAGGTAGCATCGCAGGATATAATGATGCAGAACACAGTCAGATCACTGTCAAATGTCAGTACGATTGTTTTCGATATCCTTTTCATAATGAAATATTGGTCTCTGCCAGTTCATACCATACGACCAAAGGACTCTATGACAATTTGCGTTTGTCATGATCAAATAGTCTTACCGGTATACAGGTCCTACTGAGTACTGTAACCAGCACCATTGTTTAGCTATGTTTCCAGTTCAGATCATAAAGTTTCCGAAGGATCTTACGAAAACCCCGACAAGCAAGCTCAAGCATCTGGAGAAGCACACCGGAACACGTAGGTAGTCTTTCTTTACTGGAGTGCTCCTTTCATACGCTTTTCGATCGGAGTTTTGTCCTTTTTGGCACTTTTTGTATTCTGATAGAATGTCTAGGGAACAAAGTCATATCGCAGGTTTCTTCTTCCATGGACGACCATGGACATTCCGATTAAGCTTGGAGAGGTAACCAGAAGGATGTATTCGGTGAACGGTGAGCCACTTCTTTGATAAATTCCCCAACTCCTCGAATTATGTATTTGGGATTTACTAGCATTTTTAAATAAGATCTAAAGGCATTTTCTCCCAAGGAATTATTAATAGGAAACAGTCACGATAGGGACTCAATGTAGGAAACAGTCACAATAGGGACTCCATGTAGAGTTGTGTGGACTAGTACTGATTCATGACTTCAGTCATGTTCATGACTGATCAGTCTTAATTTCTTCTCCTCGAAGGAAATGGGGAATTTCATATTTACTCTCTCCTTTTTGATTTCTCATGGGCTCAAAACTCAAAAGAATGTGACGGAATAAGAAGTGGTCAACTACTTGCACAAACTAAGGCTGTTTGTGGCTGCGGCAAAAAGGACAATAATAATCTGTCTAAGGTACAGTACTGCAGCCGAGCACTAGGTACTGTATCCCAATCTGAACTAACAGGGGGAAGCACCTATGGCCTACGGGTGTTACCAGTATTGGCAACCAGCCCATGATATCTTACTCGTGTACTAGTAGTGTCCTCAAAAAAGCTTCTCCCTGAAGCTAACTTTCGGTGCTTCGCTGGATGTGTCAGGGTTGTACCGTTGTACCAGTATGTCCCACATCCACAGCTGGCTTGTGTCGAAGGTGGAAGCACAAGCTGCAGTTGACTACTGAGTACAATACTGTACTCTACTAGCTAGGTGGCTGGCCACTGGAGTACTAGTAGCTTGCTAGCAAGTCGTCATCTATCTTGCCCTGCTGTAGCTAGAGTGGGTCTGCCCCAAAAGAGGAATCAACTGAGCCAACACAAATTCTTCAAGCTCGGCTGCGATTGACTGGAGTTGCAAAATGATGGAAACAACCAACAAGAAGAGTCAGGCAGAAGATGGAGCAGAAGAGCTTAATGCTGGTAATGATGCAGCCAATGTGGATCAGCAGCAAGCTGCTTCAGGCGTGGATGAGGGAAACTTTTCTGCATTGCTACCGGTAGATGAAGCCACGTTGGAGGGGACAGGTGGAGACAGTGAAGCGGAGGGAAAGGAAGCTGACCCGGTTGCAGCCAGCGTGGGTGACAGCAGTGCTGCAGCTTCTGATCCTACGCGTTTCCCGTTTAAGCTCCACAGAATGTTATCAGAGATAGAAACAGGGTCGCTTGGAATGGAAGGCATTGTCTCTTGGCAGCCTCACGGACGATGTAAGTGTGTACTGCATGCTCCTGCTCCTTGTCGTTCTTGTCTTGCTGCTACAGCGTCCCTGAACTTATCGTCTGGGCTTTGGATGGATGTGTCCCAATTTTGTAGGTTTCATGATCAGGGACAAGAAAGCTTTCACGGATACGGTCATGCCCAAGTAAGTCTTTTGCCATGGGTAGCATACAGTAGCTAGCATCATGGCTATAATCCATCAATTCTAGTGGCATCTCTGGCGTTCGGACTGCATTGTCCTGCGCTGCCCTTAGGCTTACTTGCATTGCACTGACCCGTGACGAATCTCATTCCTTCTCATCTATAGGTACTTTTACCAGCTCAAGTATGTGAGCTTTCAAAGACAACTGAATCTCTATGGCTTCAAAAAGATCTATGGTCAAGGTAAGCCTGGCATCCAGCATGATAATGGACTGATGGTTTACGACAAACTGGTTCCTCAATGATGCTGTCCTTTTCTGCTACGTACAGGACCTGACAAGGGTGGTAAGTTGCTTTTCGTTGTTCCAACTGGCTAGCTACCTATCTGGCTGGGCTTCGACACCTCCTCTAACCCAACATCCATTCCTCTTTTGCAGCATACTATCATGAACTCTTTCTTCGTGGCAAATCGGAAGTTGCCGGATCCATTCAGCGCGTGAAACCCGCCAAGGGATCAGACAGGACCAAAGGAAAGTCGGAAGAGCCAGAGATTAATTTCTACGCATTGCCGCCCCTTGATGACAAGGCCATATTTTGCCTGGAAGAACGAGAAAAGATGCTTCTCGAAGAGAAAGCGTCGCCAAAGTCAAAATCGAAGGGTTCCAAGCGACGCAAGAGCAGGGCAAGCTTGAAGTCGACGGGGAGCGGCAACAGCCCAGCACAACAAGAGACAAAGGAGGAGAGTTCTTCCGCCGGCCTAGTGGAACCAACTCCATTGCGCGGTGTTGCCGTCTCGGCTGGGGAGAGCCTCGGGGCCCTGTCAGCGCACGCCGGAGGATCTCTCCCTCCCATGGAGGCCAATCTGGCCAACAGTGCTTCTTTGTCTTCCACATTCCCCAACCCAAGTGGCCACGGCTTGGGCTCACAACAACCCTTTGACATTCAACATGTTCAACAGTTACCACCGCATGCACAATCCCTGATGCGGCAGCACATGGGTAGCAACATGCCTACTACTGGCAACAGCAACCAAGCATCATCTGTTGCAGCCGCAGCCGGCGCAAACCCCTTTGGGATGATGAATCATCCATTATTTGGAAACTTGCAGCAACAACAAGAACAAGGTGCCATTCAGTCCTTACAGTCGGCCCAGGAACAAATGGCGGCTCTTTTGGGCGGAGGCGACAACAGTCACGCCGCTGCTCATCAGTTGAGCGATTTGGAACCAACTCCCATAAAACCAGGCATGTCTCTGCGGCAAGGAGGAGAAAGCAAACATTCCGGCAGCCCAGGGCAGTCGGGGAACAGCAACAGTGCATTGATGGGAACCATTACGGAACAACAGATACTGCACCAGCAGCAACAACAGCTGCTTCGAATGGAGCAGATACAGCAGCAGCAACAACACCAACAATTGCAACTACAGCAGCAACAACTCCAAATGCAACAACAGCAGCAACACTTGTTGTTTGGAGGAGATCAGTTGCTGGCACAACAACACAGGCAACAGTTGCTTCCATCCATGTCCGCAACGGAACAATCTTCCAACTTTTTTCAACAGCAACAGAGAATTCTCCATCAACTGCAAAATCAGTCGGGATTGTCCGGAGTACCGCAAAGGCTGGAACAGCAACAACCGCAACCAGGGCAACAGCAAGGGCAAAATCAAGATGCACAGACTGATTTGCAGTTTCCTTCTCCGCAAGGAGGAGGCGGAGAGGGAGGTCCCAATGCTAATAATAATTCCTGGATGGGATAGCTAGCTATCTAGTTCCTCCACCAAACCTCTCATAACAAATGTAATGTAATGTAACTGTTTTGCTGAACTAGTCCAAGCAAGGTGGCGAATGATGAATGACTCAATCGAAATAGATTAGACTAGTACTGTACCAGGTACTGTGGCTCCATCGTGGCAAGAAATCATGGTCGTGGCCACAGTCGTATCAAATGAATGAGTTCCACTGCCTCGTCTTAATAATAAGCGCGATAGAGCCTGCAGGCCATACTCTAGTAATTTGTATAGCTAAAGATTTCTAGCCAGTAACGGATAAGCCTCAACTCTAATGAAGGTATCCTGTCAGCGTGGAGCCACTCGATCGTCTCACTCCACAAACTTTTGAATCGATCGAAAAAAGAGGCACAATGGCGCTTTTCCTCCTCTTTCGGCCACTAGCCAGCCTCTCTCCGTTACCTCATGTGCATCCTCTCATTGACTATCCTATGGCGCCGCTTTGGTGGTGAAATATTGAGGGCTTTCAGGAGAAGAAGAAGAAGAAGAGGTCGATTCAGTGCTCCGGATCTCACTCTGCAAGATCTGGCTCTCCACTCTCCGGCTCTCCACTCTCCGGCTCTCCAATCTCCGGCTCTCCACTCTCCTCTCCAGCCTCCATTCACTGACTCAAGATGGACATCAAACGGACTGGTGACAGCCACTTGTTTTCTTTCTACCACCTTGACTTGAGTATCGATGAGGAGACCAAGCCAAAGCCTTCGCCTGCCACAACCAGAGCCATGGCTTCATTGCTGTCGAACCTGGATATGCTAGTGGAAGTGTGTGATGAAGACTGCACTTTCCTCTGGAGATTCAAGAAGAACCAGTATCTGACTGTTGAGCAGGGCAGGAAGGTTGGTACTCATCTGTCAGAGAAGGTGGCTGACAAGGATTCCAGACTTGTCAGCTTTGGATTCTCACCCCTTTCAGGAAGAGAGCTTGTTATGAAAACTGACAGAGGCATTGAGATTGTGTTCATTTTGCCTGCTGGCCAGGGCCGCTTTGTTGAGCCAACAGGCCCAGGAGCAGATCCAGGAGCAGAGGTGGTTGTGGTGGCTGAACCTTGTCTTACTCCGGTTGAGGTGGCTCCAGTGAAGCCTCCTGCTGCCTTGAAGAAGCCTCCACCTATGTCTATTGCAGTCAAGCCTGTCCCTGCTGCTGTTGTTCCTGTCAAGAAGTAGAAACCACACAACAACAAACGACGAGAAAGCAGTGGCACCTTGGAACCTTGGGATGAAAGGAAGAAGATGCTGATTTGGTGGAGTTGGTGGATTTGATTGGAAATCAGCAGATCAGCACTCGGTCCACTGATACTGAGTACACCTATGAGACTGTGGAGGATGAAGATTGAATATGCAATCCACAACAACAAACTATCGGTGACAACCAACAAGGCAAATGGCAACAATCATAATGGGAGGTATGCTCCCACCAACAGCAGTAGCAGTGTAGGTATCAAAATAATAGTACTCTTCTTATCTATTGACTTGACTTGACTCCCTCCTCGTCTAGCTAGCTAGCCGCATTGTAGTGTGTATGTATTGACTTGCCCTCATGGTATGACTGTGACAGCTACTGGTTCTACTTCCTAGTCAAGAGCTAGCAAATCTAGTAGACACAGTAGCTGTCACTGTCATACCATGATGGCACGGGCAACCTTGGCTTTGGCTTCTAGCTTGGCTACATCGAGTCATTGGCTTCACACGTAACAACTACAAGCAAACTATACTAGCTACCCTACTTGAGTACCTGTGTTGTAGTATCAAATCAATAGTACTATAGAGTGTTAAAAGGCTACGATGAAATAAGCATGAGCGCCGATAATCTACTTGCTGTTCGAGTCATCTTCATCGCTATCCTCGTCCTCCTCGTCTCGCTATCCTCTCCTCGTCGTCGTCATCAGTAGTGTCGACATTGTCAAGTCAACGGCATCAATCTTGCGAGGGCGGGTGGAGGCATTTCCATAACTCATCATCATCGTCCGAGGCCAGAATCAGAGCTTGAGGCCTCACCAGGCCGGATGAAGGGATGCAAAGCTTGTTTGAAGGGCTTGTTGACGTCCTTCTTGCTGCCGTCATCTTGCTTGTCCTTCTTGCTGCCGTCATCCTGCTTGTCCTTCTTGGCGCCGCCATCCTTCTGATCCTTCTTGGCCACTGCCTTGATACGAAGAACAGTGTCTTCAGTATCGCCTGAAGCTCTGATTCGAACCACCAGTGTTTGGCCCTCAGCAAGAACTGGCATGGGAATCAATGGGCCCTGCACCCAACGCTCCTCCTCGGGCTCCTTCTTGTTCTTGGCGTTGAAGGCTTCGATCTGTTCTTAATCATGGCCACCAAGTCATCGGGAGGGGTTTCGCTAGCGTCACGGAAGGCAGAGGGGGCGGTGCGATTTCTTCCGGTGGGAGGATTGAACCCCTCAAGAACATGATACAGTCGCCTTCCCCGTCGTGGACGAAGGTTTGAACCAGACGTTGCGCATGCTCTTCCAACTGGCCCCCTGATGTCACAACAGCATTGACCCACCACCCATGCTGAGCAAGAAGGGCGATGCTATGCATGTTGAAACACTGGACCGTGATGGCTTCAACATCGTCAGAAGGGTCCTTGTCTGGAAGCTGGTACCAGGGAAGGACGGGGTGGTTAACGCCGGGAGGCCCAAGATACTTCTTGTTGAATGCTTGGTGGCAGACCAACGAAGGCATCACAACGGTGACAGCGTAGAGAACCTTCCCATTCTCGTCCGTGTACAGCACTCGGGAATGCCAAGCGGCGGCATCAACTTGGTGATGCATGTTCTTTGCTCGATCAGATGTTCATCGTGCTTCCCATTGGTATTGTGTCCTAGTACTGATGAGTCCTTTGGATGCTCTCCAAACTCCAGCGACTTATGTTAGGGGAGGGATCAGCCATGGTGGAATCGGTCTTGGTGGCAGACGCCTTGGTGGAAGAGGGATCGGCCATGGTGGTGTCGGTCTTGGCAGCAGACGGCTGGGCGGGAGAGGGATCAGCCGAATCGATGGGATAAAGAGGAAGACTTGAAAGGTCAAAGACACGAAGTGGGGAGTTGTTGTTCATGGTAAAGCGAAGAGAGCTTGGAGCCGAAGGATCGATGCGAAGAGAGCTTGGAAAGAAAAGTGCAGAGCTTCTGCTGTTTTGGTTGCAGATTGTCGGATTGTGAGCCGAAGAATGAAACAGGCGATTTGACCAAGCTTCGGATTCTATCTTTTCCGTTGAGGCCAGCCCTTACTCAAGAGATCCAAATATCGATACCCGTGTGTGGCCCCCTACTCAAGGCGTCGATTGTGATGCTTCTCCAGCTGAAATATTGCAATTTGCCGCTACTCAAGAGCCAAAGTATCGACCAATCCTCGGGATTGCATGCTCCAAATATCGATCCCGTGATTGCTGTCAATAGATAAAGAGCGTTGATGGCGCTGAAACATGCCGATCGCATGATTCTCCGATTGGTTTGCCGCTACTCAAGAGCCAAACTATCGATCAGTGCATGCGTCTCCGACGGTGATTGGATGATACTCAAGCCCAAAAGAGTGCTCTTTCTATGATCGATGGCAATCTTGCCGGAACGATTTAAACAACCAAAGCCATCAATATGTCATTCCCTTGTCTTTGATATGCAAAGTATAGAAGTGTTGCATGTTGTAGCATGCACGAGTTGCATCTTTCTCTTAGCTTGTCTAACACAAACTGTTGGCTCTTGTTGTTTGGATACATGTGCGATGCATGCGTCAGTGTTCCGAATGAACGGTCAGGATTTGATCTTTCAGTCCAGTTTGTTAAATCTTCTAATAGTGGTCCTTTAAGTCTAAGACGTTCCAACGAAGAGACAACTCCAACCGACAGATCAACAGAGAGAAGAATCCATCCGATGGATGCGCGCGAACATACTACTAGTTGCGATCGATCCACCTCACTCCTCGATACCAGCACGAAACCACACTCCTCTTCAATGCAAAGCAATTCAACACCGACCATGGCCGATCCTTCCGCTACTTGCTGCCACTTGCCGTCTTCTTTGTTGTTGTCTTCTTCTTGGTAAGTGTCTTCTTGCCTTTCGTCGTTGTTGGCTTTCCCTTCTTGGCTGCCGCCTTCTTGTTCGCCTTCTTCTTGGCTGCGGCCTTCTTCTTGGCTGCCTTCTCCGTTGCCTCATCTTCTTTTTGCTGTCTCTCTTCAAAGAACTGATTCTGCAAGTTCTCAGCCTCCTCTTTGGTCATGTTCTTCTTGCGCAGCTCCACAAGCGAAGGTATGTCGTCATCAATGGGTGGAAGGGAGGAAATAGACTTGATGTAGTCTCGTCTTTCGGTGGCTTTTACCTCACTCTCTTTCTGCTTGTCTTCGTTCCTTTTCCGTTTCTGCTTTTTGGACTCGGTATCAGCATGCATGTCTTGCACCACTTTACCTGCAGCAGTCTCCTTGTGTCTGAGTATGTTCTCGGTCTTCTTTCGGAAGCTTCGGAAGCATGCTAGCCGTCGGTCGTCCCTCACACCTTGTTGATGGGCGCGCTCAATTGCTTGCTCATTGTGGCTCTTCATGCCCCGGAATCGCCGCAGATCTTCCAACAAGTGGGCCCAAGCATGGACTTTCATTGGAACACTAGGCATTAGCCTCTTCCAGAGGTCGACAGCAAGTTTGACAGTCTTCTCGGCATCATCAAGATCTTCGTCTGTTAAACTGCCGTATGGTTGGTAGGCATAGTGCGACATGACATCCATGTACTGAAGGAGTCTTGCAAATGCCCCAAGGAAGAGATCAATCTCCTCTTCATCAGCTCTCTTGGCTCTCTCCTCTTCCGAAATGTCATCCAACCATTTCACGATTTCAGTCCTGATATCTGCCATGATCTTTGGGGCGAATCGAAACAGCGTGCGGCACTCGTTGCCCTCCAAGTTGCCACCATGATAAGAGGAGCTCTTCACATTGTACTTTTTCTTGAGCATCCTTTCAATGGTAAGCCAAAGATCTTGTGTGATCTTTCCGTATTCTTTTTTCTTGTCCATCTTATTGATTTCCGCATTCATCTCTCTCAATTCCTTCTTTGCAGCATCAAGTGCTTCTTCGGCCTTCTTGAGGCTCTCCTTTGCTTCTTGGGCTACCTTCTCTTGAGCGTCGAAGTCCTTTTCCTCATCGGCATCCTTGAACGCTCCACCGATTGGGACGGATTGCTCCAGTTGAAGTTCCATTTCATTGAAGAACCATTCGGCATCCAACCACACATTGTGTCTTTCATCGACGAGCTTGGACATTGCAACTCGTTCTTCCCGAGCTTTCATGAGCTCCTCTGGGACTGAGTCTGCTCTGTAGAAGATCCACTTCAAAAGATAGGCGAAGACGGTGTTGGCAAGCAAGTCGATGGCGTGGAGAGGAGGAAACAAGATGTCACCGGGTTCAATCTCGAGCAAGGGAGGATCGACCACACCTCTGGCTTCGTCTGCTTTGCTTCTCTTCAGCTCTCCATTCTGCAGCTTTTCAAGCTTCTCCTTCAATGTTTGAAGAGTCCACGTCTCCCCTATCTTCAGTGGATCATCTTGGAGCGTTTCATGTCGAGCATTGCACCTTGCACAGTGCTTGCCGGACATGCCGGTCTTTCCGACACTATCAGACTGCCAAGCCAAGTCTCCTTCTGACAGATTCGTGGCGTGTGGATACAGTGTTAAAGCTTGCTTCAGCTCACCGCTGACCATGGATGTGACTTGGCTGTCCTCCATTACTTGCCTACTATCCTTCCTGCAGTCGATGTGGGCGATCTGATGGTCTGCTTCTTTGACAACCTGGCCGTCTTTGATGAAGCGAATTCCAAGGGTGAATCTCATGGCCCGTTGTCCATGATCTGCTGCCACGAGGAAGTGGAGCTCATCTTCTTGGATGGACTCGTTCTTCTTGATCTCTTGTTCGATGACTGCTGTGGCTGGGAGGGTCCAAGCGTGGCGTAGTTTGCCCTCTTCTTGGAACGTTGTGAAGATTGGGGCTACTTTTGGTGGAATCTCAAGCTTTCGCATGGCTTCCTCTGAGTGGAAAGGATTGCACTCGTCGGCGTTGAGGTAAGGTCTCATCTTTCTCAGGTCTTCATACTTCAAGTTGCCTTTATCCATCATTGCAAGCTGTCGGTGCGGTGACATCTTTTTCTGCTTGTGCTTCAATTTGCCCATGGTGAAACAGACCTCTTCGAATGCTTCCGGTTCAAAGTATCGGCATAACTTGATGATTTGGTGGCAAAGCTCTTTGTTACTCAATGATCCTTCTGTGCCGGGGAGTGCCTCAAGCAATGTCGGGAACCACTGCTTCGCGTTGTGTTGAAATGTCTTGTATTTGTCGGAAGGAATGATTGCAACAAGTCGACGGCCATGGCCTTTGCCTGCTCCACCACCATACTTGGGAAGCTGAAACAGACCAGCCAGTCCATCTGTTTCGGTTTCAATCTTCAATGCTATTTGAACAACGCTCTGGATAGCTCTCTTGTTTGCTGGGAGACAGAACTTACTAAGAGCAGGTTCGTGCTTGCTGCAGTCTACTTGTGCTAATGGATTCTCTTTATCTAACATCTCATATTGCTTCCTATGCTTGTCTTTCTGCAGTTCTATACCTCGCCGCCGGATCCGGTCTCTGAGTGTGTCGGCGATATCATCGTCCTCGTCCTTCTCGACAAAGAAGTCTGGGCTATTGAGGAACTCTGGGTTGACAAGGCCGTCAAAGATGGCAAGGAGGTCGCTGTTTAATGGATCTCCCAAGATGGATTCTGGTTCCGGTTCTTCCGTCTCCTCGCTCGGTTCGGTTGGCGCTTCGGTTATCGGTTGCTGTGCTTCGTCCAAGTTGGTTGGAGTCACAGTCCTAGGCTGCTGCTGTGGTCTCTGTTGTCGCAGTTGTGGTTGTTATGGTCAGTGCATTGGGCTGTGGTTGTGGTTGTTGTTGTTGTTGTTGTTGTTCTGCTTCTTCAGTCTCACTATCCTCACGAACCTCCTCTTGTTGGTGCTTGACAGGTACAAACTTTGAGTAATGCTCGTACCAATCCTGGTAATTCTTCTTGCGTTCGGCCTGTGATTTCCCAATAGCTTGCGGTGCCTTCTCTTTTGTCTCCACACAAAGGAAGTACCTGTATTTGGTTCCATTCTTTGTGTCGCCAAGAGATACCCGCCGTGACTTTGTCCTTTTGTCATTGGTGTGGAGCCTGATAATGCCATCGGCATCATTCGAGGTGAGATTTCTCCCTAACAGACCACTACTGTTTATCATTGCCTTGAAGTCTGATGGTGCCATTGGCTCTGTTTTCTTTTGTTCCTTGGCAACAAGAAAAGCCCAGTAGAGTGCCGGAACCCATTTCCCATGCAAATTCCTCCTTCTTGAGGCGACCTGAAGGAATGCATCCAGATTGGGGTCCACCATGGTACCAATTCTGCCGCTAAAAGTCCACACCGACGGGGCAAATGGCAACCTCAGCTAAACCCAATGCAAGGGTGTGTCCGTGACTATGTTGGGAGGCAAGCGACAACGTGGGTTAGGCTGGGGTTTGGTTCTGGTGATTATATCACCCACTTGGTCTGTTGGCATGGGGTGGTTGGCCTCTTGTTGCCGCCGCTCACTAGCTTCCATCGAGGATACAATTCAAAACTTGAAGCCGGTTCCACGTCGAAAACCTGAAATGTGAGTCAAAAAATGAGGTCCGGTGAGCACGTTTTTACTGTAGAACTAAACAGTACTAGCCTTTTTTGCGCGATAAGCGCGCTTTATCACGAGGCAGACTGGAGCAAACGACGGTGTCCATCATGACAGAATGTCTCTGCCTGTAAATAAATGCTTGGCTTGATCTTCTCTTGAGGGTGACGAAGTTGAGAGAGATTTTTAAAATAAGCCATAGAACTCACTTCCTTCTTTACTTAACGAATGAATGGTCAGCTGAACTTGGGAGAAATGAGTATTATTACCAGTCAAACGTCAAAACATCCTCGAGTACCGGTATCATACCGGTATCATCTATCTATCTTCTGATCAGATCTATTAAGGACCCCCAAGCGCATATTAGTCACTAGTATTCGTGAATAGCCTCTAGATTGCATGTGCAACAAACTTTCCGGAGCTCGAAAGCTCGTAGCACATGATGGCATCCGAGGGTTGAAAGGAATCCGAGTAGGGAATCTCATGTGCTTCAACAAAAATTCCTTATTCAAGCACGTACGTCAACCTCTCAAACGCAAGAATAGAGTCAGCACTCCTCTAAGTGGAATGGACCAACATGTTTCGCGGGCAACTCGGTCACATTTTCCCACGTTGTTGCTCTATCGATACTATATCGATACTGGAACAGCCACACCGCACCAGCCACAGATGGCAAGCATTGCAGAAGAGGATGACACCGATGGTAACAATGAAGCTGGAGATACAGTCGCTCCACTGAGGGAGTCTTCAGTTACTGCTCGATCCCTTCGCAGCAGTGGGCCAGCAGCATCAGTGGAGGAAATCTTCACTGGCTACAGTCAATCCAAGCAGGTCCAGAAGGAAATTGCGAAGCTTGCCACTGGTGGAAACAGATATGACAAAGGAAATGACGGTCACAGCTGGAATAGCAACAGTCTTTTCTCAGGACAGCCAAGCAAGAAACAGCAGCTGAAGGGAACAGCATTGCCAAGAGTAGCAGTCCTACGTGAGAGTGAAAGTGAAGTGTCCGACGTTTCAGAAGTGGAGGGAGTTGAAGGCAAGAAGAAGTCTGTTCCAGATCCCCGACGCCACATCATTGAAGCCGACAACCTGTCAGAATTCATTAGAGCCAACACGGTGTGTCCCAAGTGCCGTAGAACCAACACACTGGATCTTGTATTGAAGACTGTGACAGTTGCTAGCAGGGCATCCTTCATTTGCCGTAATACACAGTGCACCTGGAACAACAGAGAAGCGGCACCAAAAGCAGAACTGTCGCGCACTGGACTTGAAAGCAAGACCAATAAAACTGCTAACAGCAAGATGTATCAAGCAAATGTACGATATGTCCTTGCCTTCCTTTCCATGGGTGATGGAGGAACTGACGCTCAGAAGCTTCTTGGATTCATGAACATGCCCAATCTTACGTCGATGGCAAATAGTTCATTTCATCGAATTGAGAAGAGCATTGCACCAATGATTAGACAAGTTACAGAAGAGGCCGTTTATCAGAATTTACAGCGGGAAGTACAACTCGCAATGGCTGGCACAGATGACTGGGACTATGACAAGTGGCTTTCCTTTATCCAAACAGATGAAAAGAAGCTACCTCACGACTTTCCACACCCTCGAGTGATTGTATCTATGGATATGGGATGGCAAAAAAGATCCAGCGGAAGACGGTATGATTCCAATTCAGGTCATGCCTTTCTTGTAGGATATGTCACCCGCAAGCCTATCGCATGGTGCATCAAGAGCAAGTACTGTTCGTTCTGCAAACTCCACGAGGCGAAGGACCAGCCACCACCGGATCATGAGTGTCAAATGAATCACGTTGGGTATTCTGGATCAATGGAGTCAGCCTCACTTCTGGAAATGGTGGAGTACGTATACGATCACTACCGCGTGGAGCCACACATGATACTGACAGATGATGACTCGACAATGAAAGGAAATTGTAAGTGGTCAAATGCTGACTACAAAGCTTTCTACAACCTCAACACTCTTCCTGTTCTTGGATACCGAGAGGATTATAGAGGCAAGATGGTACCTGTTACAAGGAAGGGAGGAGAACTGCCGGGATATATTCCAGAACCCCTCTTTGCCGCTGACCCAGCTCACAGAAAGAAGACACTGAAAACACACTTGTATAAACTCAAGAAGAGGAAGAAGGAAGGTTTCATCACCGAGGGAGACATACTCAGAACATCAATGGGATTCTCTTATATGTGTCCACAGCTGAAGGATCTTCCGCCCTCCGATTGGCCCAGTGCAGGAAAGGCCGTCCTTGAACACATGTTCGATGAGCACACAGACTGTAGGGATTGGTGTCAACGCAAGAAGGAGAGTGATGAGGAAAGGAAAAGATCTAACAAGGTGTACCGTGACAAAGAGAAACATCGCGAATTGTATCTTTGTCTTGTGGAAATCATGAAAAACTTCACTTCTCCACGGAAGCTTCAAGACGTCGGTCACGGTGGAGATACACAAGTCAATGAATCACTCAACAACCTTATATCACACTATGCCCCAAAGAACAGAACATACTGTGGCTCTGTTTCCCTCAGGAACCGTGTTCTGATGGCAATCGGTGTTCACCTGCTCGGATATGATGTCTTCTTTCGGCGATTATTCGCTAGACTGGGAATGGAGGTTGAAGAGGGAACCGACTATTTCCTTCGCCGATTGCAGAAGGTGCGAGATGATGAGGCAGCCAAGATAAAGAAGGTAGAGCACAAGAAGAAGCGAAAGAAAGAAATGTATGACAAACTACTGGAGTACCAGGAAATGCTGAGGGAAGATCGTGACAACAATCGCCAATATAAAGCCGGCATTGCACTTGAAGATGACTCCGGTGAGCCAGTAGCGAAGAGGCCCCGTCGCCGAAAGAAACAATCCACCAACCAGCGATACAAGGAACCGATTGGAGAGAAGCCCTCTGGAACTAAGGAAGACGATTGGTGCAAAGCATGTGGCAAGTGGGGTCACAAACGTAGATCCAGTAAGCACTGTACAGCTTCAAAGGAAGGCCTGTCTAGTAGGAAGAAAAGCGCTCTCTCTACAGTTGCATTGACTGAGGCTGAACTGGCCCGTGCAGAGTGCTCTCTACTTGATACATTTGAATTCAAGGATGATCCAAAAGGAGCCGAAGGAATGACAGAAGATGTCCTGGAGGAGATGCTGGAGCTAGATAAGGAAGAAGATACGTAGTCAAGTAACAGATAGGAAAGCTTTTATAGTAATAGTTGTGGTGTTGTATGCATGGCATCAATAAAGATATCACGCCACAATACACAGATCGATCAATAGAGGGACGTAACATTAAAATTTGACTCCACTGCTGCTGCACAACCACGGCAACAACCACGGCAACAACAGTTCTTACACACTTTGAATATGGGGAATAACCTCACTCATCATCATCATCCGTGGTGGCACAGCTGCTGGATTCACGGCAGTAGTAAGAATGGGCCTGTTCATGCTTCAGTCCATGGGTATGAACCCTTTCAAGCTCACGTTTTTTATCATACTTGGTCTTCTTCCTCGCTCTTGCTTCCGAAGCAGGTTTGTAAGGTGCAGCTTTACCAGATGTAGACATGCGAGCAAATGGCCTACAAGTACCAGGTACCACCTTGGCCACCTTCACTTCCGGGGAGCTATCTTCCTTCACAGGAGAAACTTCTTCCAAAGAGCCAGCGGCAGGAACAACTGCTGCTTCCTCGATAAGAGCCTTCGACTTGAGAGCGCTTCTCTGTAAACTCTTCAACCACCCTTCTTTCACAGGCTCGACAGTTCCTTCCTGGACAGTGCCGGTACCAGTTTCAATATAGCCAGTTGGCTCCACACCTGGCGGGTCTGGGAACATCTTCCGAACAGCATTGTAAATACAGGAAGGCAACTTACGGCGATTGCCTCTAATGCACAGAGGATTGGTCGCAAACCAAAAGTAGAGGACAAACCTCTTCTTTGGCTGAGGAAGGGAGTCAAAGTCATCTGCGTACCGGTCTTTGAAGAAGAACAGAACTGCGTCGAACATGTATTCGGTGTTGAGGTCTTCTAGTGGAAACATTGTCAGTGCGCAATCAGCAAGGCCAAACCGTTTGACACATCCACAAACTTCGCTTGCCTCTTGCTCATCCTCACTCGCATCTTCTTTCCAACCATGGAACGGATCACCAGTGCCATAATAGCGATGTTTCATCATGGCTGTCCAGTCTTCTCGAGCAGCATCGGACTCCACATGAATGCCACGCCTTAGCTGACCCTGTGTGAGTAATCCATTGTAAACCAGACCAACATCTGACTCTGGGTCATAATCACAAACTTGGCTTGTCCACGTAATAAGACTGTCCTGAAGCCTGCACTTCACATGAGGATGGAAAGTGGTAAGAGTAATGCGGCTGAGAGGGTAGCTTCTCATTTGGTGGGGGCGTTCCATGGCATCATCGTCATCAGAATCTTCTGAACTGTAATCAACCACCTTGCCTGTAGGAGCAGCTGTCCAGGTGAACTTGTTGATTAGGATAATCCCTTTGAACTGATCGCCGTTCTGCGGACTGAGACGGATTAGGCCGTAATCTTCCAGAGTGATGGTGGCTCCAGGATAAAGCAATCGGTCTTTGAGCAGGTGCTTTGTAAGGTTGCTGTTGGTCACAGCTTTGCACGTGTTCAGACTACCATCAATTAGGAACATACGCAAGACTTCAACAGGAGGCCTTCCGATGCCATATTGGCGAGACTCCTTCCTGATTTCGCCAAGAATAAGTTTTGGTTTGGCACCCGCAGTTGGAAGATGCTGGCCATGCTCGTCTCTGACTCGGACTGTGGGATTCCCATCGCCAGACATCACCAAATCAGCGAGGAAATCAACTGAAGCATCGCTGCGGTGTTTCACACGCCACCAGTCGATGTCATTTTTGACACCGGATGAAGACAACATTTTTGCCAGTAGATTGGTTTGTTTTTCTTGTTCACCAAATTGTGACCATCAGCAAGATGGGAGTTGGCCATTCCAGTAGGAGCTTTTCGCGGATTGTTGGCGCCAAAATGGCGAAATTCCTTTTCTGCTGGAACGAACGGAGGATGCCCACGCTTGATCTTAGAGCGGAAAAGTCTGTTGAGAGGCTCGATTTTGAATTATCAACATGACGAAAAACGGTCCTCTCTTGTTGGCCTGGCTCTTCCGGTTGGCCATCCCAATGACAATGACAATGACATCCAGTGTCCTATTGGACATGCCCGATACAGCGGTGGTGGGGACAACAGCGGCAATTCAGTGGCAGCTTCTCCAATTAGATTTTGTTTCCGGTCATCAAAGGGCGAAATGGCTGCTCCTCCGACATGAATTTTGTCAGTGCTAGAGCTTTGCTATCTGTTGCGGCTGTCTTGAGCATGTCCGGATGGGTGTCCTCAACAGTGATTGGGCATTGGCAGTAGTCCGATAAATTTTATTGGCTATTATCCGTCACAGCGAACGGTGGCTTACATCATTGTGCCATTTGGCGAAATGGACTTGCTTTCACCGTGTTTTGTGGTCAGTCCCTACTATTAGTGACTAACATGCGCTGGAGGGTCCTTAATACTGTACTGTAAACCAGTAGTCTACCGGTATACGTACCGGTATGTACACCGCATCATTTTCGGTGCACTGGTACCGCTGCAGTACTGGTACTATTATAGTACTGGTACCGGTCAGTACTGCCCACTAGCTGCCGAATACCACTGGGTAAAAGGAAAAGCGGAAAGAATGCTGCCCTTGCTTCACAGCCATGTTCTCAAGCTGATGGTCCTGCAAATCTGGCTGGTTCCTGCTGTACAAGAGGACGAATGCTACAGTATTTCTTAATATTGTACACCAGCAGCTACACCAGCTTTCGTGCTTGTCATTTTCCTTGCTTGTCTCCGGCGCCAGCAAAACCATTTGACGCTCATTTGCGTAGACAGCACGGTGACAGCACGGTGTGTCCCGCCACCAGCCCATTGCTGACGAAAGCTGCAGCGAAAGGTCACAAAAGGCCACTGAAAAAGTGCGTTCATGAAAAATACATCAATGTCCCTTGACGTTCTCAGCTTGCTGGCATACCGGAGCGACTACTAGCTCTAGAGTACAGTATTCAGAGGGATACTACCGGTAGTATCCTTGACTGTTTGCTTGCACTGGTTTCAAAACCATATCCCTAGACTCTTTCAACTTCATCGATCAATCGATCGATTGATTCCAATTCGAACATATCACTCACTTGATTCGGATTCTGATTCATTTTCGGAGGAAAGCAGCGGTCATAATGTACAGTCGTATTTATTTGGCTGTTCCCCCCCCCTCAAGCGGCCAGCTATGGTACGGTACCGAACGTACAGTGGATACGATACTGTACGGAGCCATACTAGTAGCACCTCAACGTAATTCAGTACCGGTACATTAGTACACTAAAACTCAATAATAAGAAACCTCGAATTTGCTTTTCTCACCAACCGCCCCATTCTGCTAACACAACAAGCCAATTTCAGTATACTAGTAGAAGACTTTATTACTAATCTTCTATTTAAAAAAAAATAGATCAAACAGGTTAGTCTTTGGAGTACACCCACTGCAGCACTTTCGGTCCAACTTGCTCATTGGACTCATAGGTGGTTTGGGTCAAATAGAGTTGGTGATCAAATTTTGCAGATTTAGGCACAAGTTTGGAGCATTTTCATGGTGTCAGTCTAGTAGTATTTCTTGTGCTTTGAGGTCTCAATACTGGGAAGTTTTCTTACAAGTCTGTGATATTTCAGTGTATGTCAAGAGATTCTTATCAGTTTCTGAAATCTCTGTAAATGCTTTCTTGTGGGCAGTTTCTTAAACTCTGGTTTGAAGTGTACTGTAGTAAATAACGCCCATATAACCCATTTACGGTACGGTACCCGTCTCCTGGCAGCGGTCATAATGCTTGACATGTGGACTGGCAGCATGGCAACACGAAACCGGCTCACAAGAAAGATCCAAAAGATCCTGGATTGCATTCTCAAATCTTAGCGAGAAACGGTCACAAAAACAGGCCCACCGCAGACAAAAGCCCACTTCTTGGTCCACTTCAAGAATATTTAGTGGAATCTATCTTTTTCTCTACCACCATGGGTTTGTTAGATTCTCTCAAGCAAGGCTTTAACACTGCCGTGGCGGCGGTCCAGGATGCGGAGGCCAATTTGCGCGGTGAGAAATGGCTGGCCGAAGTCAAGGATACCGATGGCAACTGGAAGAAATTGGAGGGATGGCAGGAGCAGTACGAACCCAAAAAGGAGCCCAAAAAGGAGTCGACCGAGGCCAAGCCAGAAAAGACCGAAACTCAACTGCAACGTCAGGACGCTGCCACCCAGCTGGCCATCAACACGGTCTTTAGCAAGATTGAAGATGGCCTTACCATGCAAATCATGAATATCATGATGGAAGTGAGCTCCAAGGTGATTGGTACCACACATGAAGTCCTCTCCAAGGACAAGACCGCTTCCGAGGCCTCCTTGGAGATTTTGCCCGTTCTGGCGGCGCTCAACACCATGCTGCTCTCGTACCGCTTTGACAAGACTGGTTGCGGTACTTCCAACAAATTCCGCTTTATCCGAAAGACTGCCTCGGGTGAACTGAGCAATGTCGTCTTTGACATGTATGCTCAAAACAAAACACCCGACGATATTGCTGCCGAAATCAAAGCTGCCTTTGGAGATGACAAGTCCAGCATTCGGGCCATTCTTTTGACCAAAATTGACGAAACCATGAAGACTTACTCCGCCCAAATGGCTGCCGGTGCCGAAGAAGCGGGAGACTCCACCGAGGCGTTGCAAAAGGCTCGATCTTTGATGGGAGAAGGACAAAACAATGTCTTTGCTCAATTCTTGTCGTTCATGCTCGTCTCCAAGTTGGAGGTTGTCGAGGAGCACTTGAAGAACTTTATTGATGAGTTCCTCGCGTCGTGCAATGCCGAACACGAAGCCAAAAAATCCAAAGAAGATGTCCAGGCAGCCATGTTTGCATTTGTCGAGAAAAAGTACAGTGAACGCCTCCAAGAAATCATGGGTCAAGTCAAGACCTACACGGATATGGCCAAGGCGGCGGTTCTGACAACTCCCATGGCCGTGTCGGCGGAAACTGCGGATAGTGCCGGTGAGGAGTAGCAATCAAATCTGCTGGATGGATGGATGGATGCACTGTCGCTGCACTGTGGCTCCTGTACGGAAAGCATTGTAGGTCACCAAGAATGATTGGCCCACTCTTGAGAGGCCGGAACGTGTGCAGAAAGTGAGTAAGTTTAGATATTTTCGCAAAGGAACCAACCAGATACATACATCATGCTTTGAACTATGGCAGGAGTAGGGTAGAGAGATGAAATGCATCATCTAACTTTTAAACTCTAGAAGTTGTCAGTTTTAGAAAGGCTTTGGAAAGGATCCCCTCGCTGGAACTGTACTGAGAAACTAAATGCAACCGTAGCACGTCCATTGTGTTTCGTTCCAGTAGTGCTATGTTGACTGAGTCACTCCATAAAGCTGATGAAGGCCGGCAGGACCAGCTGTGACGTGTCCTTGGGTAACTCGCAGGCTTCAAAACAAACTAAATAGCTACACGCATACACACCAGAACCTCAAATTACCACCAAAATCCTGAGGAAAAATTCTTTGACGTTGATCTAGCCAGCTTGCCTTTGCTCGCCTGGATTTGGACCACGCAAAGGTCCGCTCTGATGTTTTCTCAAGCCATCACTCTCCACTTAATTTTAATAAGCGGGAGCTGCGATACCTGGGCAGAAAGACAAATAGAAGAAAGAGGATCATGTATGAGATTGCACCCTTCTTTCAAGGTAGCCCTGGCGACAACACCCGACTTCGTCGTGTGTTGCCGCCCGGTATCATTCCCTCATTATAACCTTCTTTTTTATTGAAGCTAGCCCTGGCGACAACACCCGACTTCGTCGTGTGTTGCCGCCCGCTAACCATAATTTTACAGCTGTCACTCCCGTACCTGTAACTTTTGTAGCTTCTGCTGGCTTATTGCGTTGAGTGCACTAACCTTGAATGATAATGATTTATTCCTACCCCTAAATTTGTAGAACCTTCAATTTCCAGTTTTGTTGGCTTATGACTATCTCTATCCCTATATTTTGGCTTCACCGGAACAGGAAATTCGGCATTTTTTCAGCGTTCGTCTCCTGTTTCCTCAGTTCGCTCCCTACTTGGATCCTTATGACGAATACATGCACAACCGAATATTGTCAATCCAGCCATTGTAGCCAGTTACCGTAGAGTTACATCGATCCGTGACAGTACCGAACACACACTCAGGTTCCGCTTTGCTGGCTACACTCCGTTGCTGGTATCTTGCATTGGATCCTTATGACGAATACATGCACAACCGAACATTATGAATCCAGCCATCGTAGCTAGCTATCGTAGAGTTCATCGATCGGTGACAGTGGCAACAGTACTGAACACACTCAAGTTCGACTTTGCTCGCTGCAATCGGTTACCTCGCATTGGATCCTTATGACGAATACATGCACAAAACCGAATATTGTTAATCCAGCCATTGTAGCCGGCCACCGTACACCAGTTACATTGGCGACATTGTCAACAGTACTGAACACACTCAGGTTCCGCTTTGCTAGCTACACTCCGTTGCCGGTATCTTGCATTGGATCCTTATGACGAATAAATGCACAACCGAACATTATGAATCCAGCCATTGTAGCCGGCTCCGGTATAGCTACATCGACGACAGTGGCAACAGTACCGAAAGTTCGGCTTTGCTCGCTACAGTTACCGGTACCTCGCATTGGATCCTTATGACGAATACATGCACAACCAAATATTGTCAATCCAGCCATTGTAGCCAGTTACCGTAGAGTTACATCGATCCGTGACAGTACTGAACACACACTCAGGTTCCGCTTTGCTGGCTACACTCCGTTACCGGTACCTTGCATTGGATCCTTATGACGAATAAATGCACAACCGAACATTGTCAATCCAGCCATCGTAGCCAGCTATCGTAGAGTTCATCGATCGGTGACAGTGGCAACAGTACCGAACACACGCAGGTTCGACTTTGCTCACTGCACTCGGTCACCTCGCATTGGATCCTTATGATGAATACACGCACAACGGAATATTGTCAATCCAGCCATTGTAGCTAGCTGCCGTATAGCTAGTGGCAACAGTACTTGATTTGCGCATACAGGAAAATGGGTACCGACACAGAAATCACCACCAAAACAGTAGGAAATAACAAGAAGGGATGAATCCGGTAGGAGGATCCACTCTCTTGTGTGTTGTCGAGTAGCTAGCCTTGCTGCTGTTCCCTTTCAATGAATCGACGACTCGATGATCTATTATCTTACGAAAGAAGCAAGTCGTTCGCCCGAGGACTTGTGCATACAGAAAAATGGGTGCCGACACAGGAATCACCACCAAATCGCAAGGAAATAACACTGGAGGGATGAATCCAGTAGTAGGATCCACTCTCCTCTGTGCTTTTGTGCGTTGTCGTGTAGCCTCCTCCGGTTGACTGTTGCCATTCAATGACTCGAAGACGTCGTTCAGTCTGTTGATAGGGCTGGAGTTAACAGAGCCTCCTCTTGTTATCCGAGGCAGATCGATCGACATGAGACTCTCTTGTTATCCGGAGCGGTCGACAATGGTATTTCCTCGGCCGTCAGCAGTAAGAGAATAGAAAGTAAGCAATAGATATAGTTTTCTCTTCTATTCTGATACTGCAGACAACCGGAGACTTACCCTTGTTTTCAAATTGCACCAACTTGGCCGTCATTGGCCGAGAACTGACTGCCATCCCATGGTCCATAGGATTCAATGAGGGATGGCTTTCGAATCTGCACCGGAGAAGGACGGCTTGAGTGAGGCTGGATAACAGAGGTGCGATCGATTCGATTCGGATAATTAAACAACTCACCTGTTGACGGCCGAGAACTGACTGCCTGCCCATGGTCCATAGAAATTCAATGAGGGATGGCTTTCGAATCTGCACCTTCAATAACACTCTTGATTATAGGTATGCTTACCTCCGTACCAGTCGTTCGATTGATTGATCGATCGATCGATCGATCGATTCAACACCGCTCTTGTCGGCCAAGCTCGGATTTCTCTCCTGTTTGCCATAGCAATTCAATGAGGGAGAGAAGTCAGTGCTGTACCTTCAACACCGGTACCGGTACGTGCGCATGCGATTCAATTAGTTTAACCTTAACCTTAGAACCTTCAATGGTTCTTTTTATCCACGAATCCATCTAAACGTTAAAAAAGTTAAGTACAGGTTTGGTACTTACGGATACACATGACCGTTGATTCTGCAACTGAAGTGCGGGTACTCTATTTTACACAGTAAACGCCGGCAAATCGATTCCAGAGTGCTACTGAGGGGTAACCAAAAGGAGCGTCGTCTCTATGGAGACGAAATAGGAAATAGGATATAGGATATAGGAAATAGGAAATAGGAAATACCAAAAAAGGGGTAGAGGGCTCAGGCAGATAGACTGCCGAGGTAAACTCTTCTACGATTTGATTTGTTTCATGCTACCAGCTGGGAAACAGGTAAATCTAAGACAGGTAAAGTCCAGCCGTAGAAAATGTACTGGGCCTACGCAAAAGAACCTGTCCAAAGGTCCTCCGGGATTGAATTTGAAAATTTAATTCACGATCTTTAAAGCATGACTCAGAGTTGACTTTTCAGGACCAAGCATTAACAGTTTTGAAAAAGAAATAAGGTTTTCACTCTTTGACACAGGTAAAGTTGACCTGTCTTCCAGCTGGTAGCATGAAGAGATCACTGCCGGCTGACGTTGGCGGGAAGCAACTTTTGGCGCGATCTCCGGAAAACCCAACCCATCACATCCGATGCATGGGAGCCACCACAACAAGACAAGTGCGGAAGGTGATCAATCATTTCATGTTGCATTGATTGAAAGAAAGAAAAAGACACCACCATGTTGTTCGTCCCCTCTGAAGACTTGACCTGTCACAACTTTGGCTCTCGCTCGGACCTGTCGGATCGCCAGCAATTTGCCTGGGCCTATCAAACTGAAACCAAAGTCCGTTTTGAGAAGTTGGAAGGCCGAAGCGCCAGTAACAGACCTCCAAGTAATGCTGCTGCTCCCTTATCCTCTGACTATTTGATCGAGGTGTACCCCTCCCAAGCAGCTGCAAGCGCGAGTGCGGAAAGTGAGCTGGAAGGAGATGTGCAAAAACTCCAACGCAAGGCCTTGGAGTGCATGAAAGAGATCAAACAACAAGATGGCTCCTTGACCCCTATTCAAATTGATCCTGAAGTGTCTACTGTCCCTCCTCTGAAGGAAACGTCGTTCAATGGTGCACTGTCAGTTCCTCCCAATTTTCTCTTTTTTGAGGTTTGCTTGGAATGCTATGTGGGCTATGGACTTGACAAATTGTTTTCTGGCGGCAACGACTCAGACGACGAGGACTCCGACGACGAGGACTCCGACGACGAGGACAACGACGACGACGACGACCAATCCCAACTTCCCAAAGCAGCCATAATGGGTGGTGCTGTGGTGACAGCCCTGTCTTGCTGGCGAGACGAATATATTGTTTCGCTCTTTCGAGAAGTCAATCTAGAAGAGTTGCTGGACCAATTTGCTGCAAAAACTGCTAAGTATTCAGACAAGTATCCAGAACGAAAGAAGAAACTGACAAAGGTACTGCTGGCAGATATACAAGAAGAGTACAAGACCCGAAAAGCTTTGCTCAAAACAATCCTACATGAGTATTTTTTAAGCACCGGCGATGAAGATGGGCAGGTGTCTCCCTTTCATGCTGGAGATGTGGATGTATTCCTGCAGGCCACGCCCTTGACTCGAGCACTCTACAGAACCTTGATGGGGAGCTGTGGCCAACAAACTGATCTCTTCAACACAATCGAGAGCTTTGTTGGGGGTATTGGCTGGTCTCACAACGAATTGCAGGCGTTTGCAGGCAGATTTTACGGATCATTATGGAGCAAGTATGAAGAAGACCAAGGAGGATTTGTGTATGCATTGGCAAAGAATGGGCTGTCAAGCATGTATGCTCCATGGGGAAAACTACCGTATCGCGGTGAGCCACCATCAAACCTTCCATGGCCGCGCAATACGCAGCTCATCATGCTGGATCCACGGGCAGACATGTTGGGAGCGCTTATGGACTTTGATGTCTCTACGGCAGCATGTGCCTTTGATGGCATTTCTGTTCGGATCACACCTAGAGCAGCACTCAGTTTGGTCCGAAAGGTTGCGGTCGTGACTCCCTTTTGCTTTGAAGAGAAACGGAATCGAAGGCGCATCACAAAGTATTGCCGCCGTGGTTTCTTCCCGGCTATCCTGGATCCACACTGCCTGCACCCTCAGCATTGTCAGAGAACTTTCAACCCCCACATCTTTGGGCCACCGGCTGACTTGGTTGAACAGCCAAATGCCAATAAAAAAGTGTGGCAATGGACTTCCCCTTCTGCAGAAATCATTCAAGAGACTCAAACGAATTTCGAACGATATTACGAGCATGACAAACATAATGCCTTCGCCGATTTCGTGTGCTGCTGTACAGCTTATGATGACAGATTACATATGATTGATCTAATCGAAGAAAGTGACGGCCATGCCTTGAGGTTCTTCGCTGATCTCAACCAATGGGATGATGAGATGCACAACAAAGTCAACAGTGTTCCAAGGCACTTGCGTCAAGCATGCGAGGCGTGTCGCAAGAGGTATGCTTTGTACTTGCTCTTGAACGACAAGTCTCGAGAAAATGAACCAGCATGGAACAACACCGATTTGCGCGAAGACAAGGCAGTGCAATGCATGGGTATTGGCAATAACTACTTCCGGCCATCCTTTTATGCTGGTGGTGCCTTTGATAGCACACGTGTGAGAGGTCGAGCGCGTCATTTCTGCGAGGCCCAAGCAGTGTTGCAGGGGCAGAGCATAGCCGAACAACTTCGGTACATCGTGGAGCATGGCACGGTGAAGGGCTACCACCAACGTTTTACTTTCGATCCTCTTCCGTATTTCAGAATTCAACTGAACTCAAGGACTGGGCTTCAAAATGTGTTTGGTCAAGCCATGCAGAAGACATTGGCTCACCCTGCACGACCACCAATTGGGCTGAACCCCGAGCGGTTCCTTGCCCGTTGTCTAGGCTGTTCCAAATGGTTGCATGGATATGAATTCGGAACGGAAATGTGCACTGACTGCTTTGATTCCAAGCCTGCGGCTGTTTGAATGCAAGCCGGTGGCTGATACGGAAATTTCAGACGCAGTGCTTGAGATGCGAATCCTATGAATGATTGGTTTTCACTCGGGTACTTTTTTGCGAAACTTCAGTTTCCATATGCGGAACCTGGCTCCAAACAGATTTGGACTGCTATGGAGTGGGTCTGTTGCTCAGGTCCGGTGGGATTTGGTAGTGGCTAACGACGTACCTAGCTAACTAGAGTTCGCAGGAAGATAGATGAACGTGGCTGGTGTCAAGACTTTCATACCTGGGAAACAATTTCTGAGAGTTTCCTGGAGCAACAGCATAAGTCGCTCGTAAGATCGCGAGGCGCTGGTAGAAAACGAATTGTTAAAGGTGTGGAGGTGGCCAGAGGATGACGATGAAGTTCGGTTTGAACACCAATCCTTTGGATCACTTTGCTGCCTGGCCTCTTGCTGGTTGCCCGCAAATCGGCGGAGGTCTAGTTCTGTTTTGCAACGATGCCAGTGCAGCGTTTGTCTAGTAATCGGGTTGCATGGAATGTGGATGGAAGTAGCAGTGATCAATTGGAGGACTCGTCCTGGATTCAATATTGGGAGGAAGAAACACGCCAATCGAGAGGCAGATGTAGCTACCTTGGCTGCAACAATCCTGCGCAGGTGGGCGGACATATCTGGATGGCACGCCATGGGCGGCCCACAATTGCTCCGATCTGTAGAAGCTGCAACAATCCAGAGAACCCCAATCGCATGCAGGGGGGCAACAGCCAGTTGCGAAGCGGCACGATTGTGGTGGACACAGATTACACACACGACATGCAGATTTCAAATCGTAGGTTTGCTGAAGAAGTGCGAATTTGCAACGAGTGTGATGAGGATATTTCAGATAGACCACAAAATCATGACATGTGTCTCAACTGCTGGAATGGACGCGGAAGAGGGGCGAGAAGACGTTGCCAACTTTGTCGCGTAAACATCTCAGGTCGTCCAGCAAACCACAATCTGTGCTTGGATTGTTTTCGTCAGAGCGGTGGCAGAGGTACCGGAAGCCAATCACGACGTGGACGACGTTGCCAAGATTGTGGCGGAGACATTGCAGATCGCCCAGCCAACCATTCTCTTTGCTTGAATTGCTTCCATCGGAGCAGGGGCAGAACCAGTCCTATCGGTAGGCGCAGAGGGAGGCGTTGCCAGGAATGCGGCCAAGACATTTCAGATCGCCCAGCAAACCATAATCTTTGCTATGGCTGTTACAATGACTCCAGCTCAGCCGGAAGCTACTAGAAGCACAGCAGCATGCGTAGTTCAAGAAACTAGCCTCGAGATCGCTGCGAATTGAGAAACCGAGCCCGCAACCAGTTGGCACATGCATGTTATGCCGTGCAAATACTAGCAATAGGTTTTAAAACATCGATGAGCGTGCTCCTCCTACTACCGTATCGTTGCTATTTGGGGGCCGGGAGAGTACGGCCGCCATGTGACAGACGCATCAGGCGTTGAGGTCGTTCTACCGTCTCTCCCTTTTGATGTCTTCTTTTGCAAGATTCGATTCAAACTTCCGACCTCTGTGGGCGTTTTGTGGGGTTGTATCCCAATCATATTAATAGTCTCAAAAGAAGGAGGCATTTCTATGAGAGGCTCTGGTCTAATGACAATCCATCGCACGTGTGATGCTCAACTAACTGAAATCCGCGCTACCATCATTTGTCCCGTTGGACCAAGTCCATGAGTTCACGACCACATGTCGACAACCTTGCGAGTCGAGTCCGGTTGGTACCGTGAGGTAACTGAGCTGAGACGGGTCGAACATTGCCTTCCGGTAACACTATCTCGCCACTAAGACGCCAAATTGTTCTGTTGCTGGTGTTCAGAGAGAGGCGCCGATAGCAGATACATAAAAACGACTCGACTGTCTCTCGCCTTTTTGTCGCCCGATAGCATTGCTGTTGTTGGAAATAGGCGTCATTCAGCAACTTGGGGTTTAAACGTTGGAATAGTTCTTCAACAAACCGTGACGCCATTTCCCGCATTTCCAACGCAGTCTTACGAGCTCTACACGAGTTCTACACGATTTTTCAAATTTTTCCTCTCAACCCCCGCACTCCCACGCCGTGGCCACCGGAACACTAGGTAGAACTCTTGCACAAAAGCTTTGTCCTATCCTTCATTTTCTACGGACAAAACTTCCTAACTTGAACATCAAGATGTCGCAGACTTTAGCCAATGACGCCGACGTTGAGGTATCTCCTGCAGCATTGCTGGATTCTCTGCTTGCGGAAGACGAAGAATCGTCTGCATTGATCAACTCGACAGACTCCGGCAAGGAAGCTACCATCAAGGACTCCAGTATGGAGATGTCTCCCGTCGCTATGCTAGACTCTTTGCTTGCAGACGATGAAACATCTGCATTGATTGATGCAAAAGATGTAGAAGCTGCATCTCCTGCTGCCATGTTGGACATGGTGCTGGGAGACAAGGAATCGCCAGATAAGGTAGACTCGAGAGACCTGCAAGGAGCGGGCAATGATGTTGCATTGAGATCACTACCTCCATCGCAGTCAAACTCTGCAGTAGCCATGAAGGAATCATCAATTACGTTCAAGGGACAACTGCATGGCGACCCTTTTCGGAAAAGAACTAGCGCGATCTTCAGCAATAACACGGCCGATGACGCCCTTTTGTCTGCTGACGAGCTCCTTGCCCGTCTTGGAGAGCTCTCGAATCATGATGCCTTGTCACGCAGCAAAGGTGAGATTCCACGATCGGGTAACGTCGGAGCAGTACCAGAATACGTTACCACTTCGTTGATTCCTACCAGCACCGGAAGCTTCTGTTCGAGAGAGGAACGCTATCAAAGAAAGTGCATGGAAGCCTCAAGAGGAAGGCATATGAGAACAAGCTCGGATTCTAGCTCGGTGGTGGGTGCATTCCTTGGGCTTGCCTCAAGCAGGCAAGCAGGAAAGGTATCTCCATTTGGGGAAAATGCAAGCGAGTCCTTGGTTCAAAAACGACAAGCGCGCTATGAGAAGAAGATGCAGCATTCGGCACCAACAAGCAGCAGAAGCATAGAATCAAAGCCTTCAAGCTCAGGTCGCTTTCAAGAAGAGCCAGGGCATCTGGCATCTCAAATGTATGGTGTTCAAGGTGAGGGGGCGCCATCATCCCTCCCTTCGGACACGAGCTTAGAATTCGGCTTCAGCGAGTCCTTGGCGCAAAAACGTCAATGCAGATTCAAACAGAAAATGAAGGCGTCGTGGCCTCCTCCCGAGGGTCCTTGCGATCCACAGGATGACATTGGAGCGGCACCATGGGCACATCATCGGTTAACGGAGACGTACATGTACAACGGAACAGGCTCGGACGAAGATCCGCTGCAAGGAACGCCAGGTAGCCCAGATGATGCCGCTTCAAAATTCCAGCATAGCAAAAATGTTCCAGGTTCAAAGCAAATGGAATCAAGTACAGCCGCCCTCTCCTTCCGAGTTCCCGATGTTGAGAGTGGCCAAATCCATGTTGACAGAGTTGATCAAGTTGCGAAAAAAGCTTCAGATGGTGAAAGGCAGGAGCTGCTCATCGAGGCCACTCTTGTGGAAGAACCGACGGAAACTGATACATCTTCGCAAGGAGAGCAAGGAGAGCAAGGCCTGCATGCTAAACCAATGCTGGTCGTCGCAGAAGAAGTCAAAGAGAGGAAATGGTATTGTACCAGGCGGGGGCTGTTCTTCATCGGGGCGTGTAAACTATTGATTGCCGTCGTTGTCATCATCATACTCAGCATGTCCTCCGACGAAGCAGCAGAAATAGCTGTTTATGTGAATGTCACCAACGCTCCAAGTCTTTCGCCAAGTCAAGCTCCAACAGAAGCGCCATCTTCCCACATCCTAGAGGGTCTTCCGCTCCACACAGCGGAAGCTCTCAAGGACCCTTCCTCCCCCCAATCTCGAGCCTATGCATGGATTGGGAATGATCCACTACAAAGCACCTACTCTAATGAAAGACTCCTGCAAAGATTCGCGCTTGCCACTCTATTCTATGCGACAGGAGGTGACAATTGGAGTGATGCTTCGGGATGGCTCTCCTACGATGAGAGCGAGTGCAATTGGGTTTCCAAAACGGACCCAGCGGGGTACCCTGAGTACGATGGAAACCCATGTGCAGAGGATTCCACTTATCTGTACCTTACATTGTACAGCAACGCTCTCAATGGAGTGGTCCCCCGCGAAGTATACCTTCTGACGTGAGTAATCCATTCTGTGCTGCCTGTCTCTGGTTGGGCATGATACTCCGTACCGGTACATTCTCATTCTCTTCATCAATTTTATTCCATTCCAGGTCTCTCCAAATACTGGATCTAGCTACCAATCAGCTAGGTGGAAGTAGTATCCCCACTGACATTGGACAATTGAAAGAGCTTCGTGAGCTCTGGCTGGTGGAGGCTGGCTTTGTGGGACAAGTGCCGTCGGTACTTGGAACACTCACCAAACTCGAAAACCTTCGACTCTACGATAATCACCTGACAGGGTCTCTCCCTTCCGAGCTGGGGGCTCTAACTGAGCTTCGCCACATCATCATTCACGAAAACGACTTGTCAGAAGGATCGACGATACCATCAGAGTTTGGGTTGCTTTCCAATCTGGTTGAGTTGACTCTGTACGGAACATCCATCGGGGGCGCGGTACCAAGTGAATTGGGCCAATTGACTGGTGTAACCAAGCTTGAGCTGGATGGGAATCAACTCATTTCGACCATTCCAACGGAGCTCGGGATGCTGTCCTGTAAGTTTGGTTGCAATGATTGCAACTGCTTGTTATTGGATCTAGTACCGCATCTAACCTTCTTCTTGCTGTGCAGCCCTGGAAAATTTGTTTCTGTACAAGAATCAATTGGAGGGACCAATTCCTTCCGAGCTTGGACTGCTCGAGAACATTATGTCAATCAAACTTGAAAGCAATCACCTGACATCAACCATACCGTTGGAGCTTGGCAGCCTAGAAACTTTGGACGAACTCTTCCTTCGCGAGAACAATCTGGAAGGAGATGTTGGAGGCTTATCCTTTGCCAGCGATTCTTTGGTTCTTTCTCTGGAGGAAAATGATGGTCTGACTGGGACGTTGCCCAAGTCCTTGTGCGATCTGGAGGCACTCGAGTTTACCTGCAGTGAAGTCCTCTGTGGCTGCGATTGTGGATGCGCTTCTTCTGCCAACGGTACACAATGATCCTTTGAACTACAGTGCAATGAAAGTCAATGTAAGCCTACTAGCTAACTATGGTTGATTTAGACTTTTTATTGGAGCTGCTGTCAGGTAGAAAAGAAGAAGCAGCTACAGTAGCTTCCAAGTGCCTGCCTCAATGCTGCCACCATGTCTTGCCTCGTTTGGCGCCCAATGCACCACGGCAATACTTGTCCATGGAGGACATCAACCGACTCTTGGTATCTCCAGAGTTGCAATAAGGAAACGTGGGCGGAGCCCGACACAATTCCTGCCAGCACTTTGTGGCGGCCTGTTTCATCCAGGCGTTTGCGCTTGGCTCCACCCTGGTCCATTCCCGTGCACAAGTGTCGAAGCTGTAGGCATCCATATGACATTTCCCACACTGTGATATAGCAGCATCATCCATCCTATTAGTATTGGCAGGGTAATCAAAGGTAAAGTGGAGTTGTAGAATCTTGTTGTTGCCAAGAAACTCTTCTTGCTGTTCGTCCACGGAGGACCGCATCCAAAGCACCAGGAAAGACTGCTTGACTTGGACCATTTTACGCGGCTGTTCATCTGGACCTGTTTCATAGTATATTGTGGGAGCTCTCATGTACGGTTCAATGGAGTCCCATGCGGAAGGCAGGGCATTCCTTTGGAGGAGGTCGGTGGCGTTCTCCTCTTTCTCTGACGTTTCTTGAGATGAACGAAGAAACAGTCGTCTTCCCATGTTTGCGAACCAAGTTGTCTGATCGGGATATTGTGTCGCTTTCGTGTACTTTTCCATCGTCGATTTCATAGTCTTGTTCTTGTGCCGGGCTGGTTTGTTTGTGTGTTTGTGGGCCTTGCCAAAGTCGTGTGTTGTTGCCTTGGTTTCACCTTGCAACCCCAGTCGCGCATGCCTTCCGCTCCCAAGCCAATTCAGTCGCACATGCTGTCGCTTCGCTTCGATAAACAAGCCAGAAAGGCTGTTGAACTCAAACAGTTGCCGCCTGTCCCTGGACCTCTCTTCGATCTCTTTGTCACTTTTCAGCCACAAGCCACAGACTGACCAACGTCAAAGGCACATGCAGCAGTCTCCCCCAGGGAAGGCAACTTGTTGCTGTTGTTGTGGTCTTTCAGTACAATCCACAATCCGTAGAAGAACAGAAGATGCCCTCACTTCGTCACTTGGTGCCTCTTGGAGTTTTGGTGGTGACGTTGTCGAATCTGTTTCATCAGAAAGATGTCTTCAACTCGTGGGGATCCTTTTGGAGTCTGGAAGAATTGGATTTTGTCCAGGACAACAACAACAACATGACGAGCAATGCCGATACTGCGAGTACCACTGTGGTGGAACATCAGAGTGTAGAAAGAAGAAGAAAAAGAAGAAACAGAATCTTGTCGTCTCCCATTGATTCGTTTTTCTTTGAGCGATCTCCATCTCAGTGGCTACTCGATTCTTCGTCATCATCATCTGAGACCACTACTTCATCATCATCATCACAACCTCATATTCATCATCATCACGCCATTGTGATTCCCTACCGCGCTCGGCAGTACCATTTGCAAGAGTTTCTAAAGTACATGAATCCCTACTTGGCCACGCACTTTCCCAACGACACGTTTTCCTTGTGGATCCTGGAACAAGACGATTCCGAACCATTCAACCGCGCGTGGTTGGCCAACGTCGGTCTTCGCGAGATTTTGCGACATTCACCAACTACGCAGTGTGTCATTTTACACGATGTCGACTTGATTCCATCCGCCAAAAAGGTGGTGCCCTACACGACGTGTCATGTGCCGCTACAATTGGGCAGTGAACTGCAACACTATGATTGGACGTTCCCGTATCCCACCTATACTGGCGGCATTACATCCATGAGTTTGTCGCATTGGCAACTCGTCAATGGACTTTCCAATGACTATATTGGTTGGGGTGGAGAAGACGACGACTTGTATCATCGATTGCGCATGTGCGGGTTGCTCCAACAATCCAAACAACCCGGCTATTGGCATGCACCGGTGCCACATCGACCCCCCAAAGGCCATGGAACATTTACCACCATTTCCGAAAAGAAGGAACATCATACACAGGCCAAATCGGAAGGACAAATTAGTAATGCGCGGGATTTGATTCGAGAAATGTATCACAACAGTGATCGATGGAGATACGATGGACTCAATGATGTTTATTACAGTGTCACGGGACGGTCTGTGACACGACCTTCCACAGATGGATTTGAAGCCATTCATCACATTCAAGTCATTCCGCAAAAGTCATATCCAACCACCGCCACCAACAGTACTTTGGATGATGCTCCATTGTCTATCAAGGAGAACGCGACGACAACAAAACTACTAGCACCCATCCAACGGATTCCCGTCACACCTGTGTTGGAATTCGTACCCATTCTGGGAGTGACGGATCTCCTCACCGGCATGGCCACCAAAGCGGGAATTGTATGGGGGGCATGTCATTACTTGTTGCCCGGAGACAGTCTACTAGAAGACGATGAAAATAAAACGGTGTGTCCATTTGGAAGTGGCGATTTTCGATACGATGCCCAATGGCAAGCCACCCATACGCAATTTACAACACCGTGGCTGCTGCCACACCGACAGATTGTCTTTAATCCGCTCGAAGGAACCCAACGGTTCACTGTCGTGCGCAATCCGTACGAGCGAGCCATTGAGTGGTTTCTTCAGAAACGACGACAATTCACAGATGATCAGGAGAAAGATGTCAAGGCATCCCTCAACACATTTCTGCAACAGCACATGGCAGAATTGTCATTGCAGCGGGACTATGTGTATAGTACTGCAAATGTAAACCCCAAACAAGGCAAGAAACCCAAGCAGTACATTCATCATGTTCTTCGCTACGAACACTTGGTGGACGACTTGAGGGAACTCTTGTCGCGGTACGAGTATCTAGAGGCACGCTTGGACGTGGAGAGTCTCCAAAAGCGGTGGAATAATAGTACGCTACAATCATCATCACTGGTGCGAGTGGAGGATTTGTCCGACGCCACCATGGATGCTCTGAACCAACACTTTGATTTGGACTTTTCGCGGTTTGGCTACTCGAAACAACAACACAGTGGTGGGAATGGCACGTTGTTGAAAGTCCAGCATGCACTTCTCCGTCCAAAGAAAAAGATTGCACTGGCACCACTACAATTGGTGGATATTCCATTCAGCGGCGGAGAGTTTCTCACGCGAGCGGCAGCCAGAGTGGGAATTGTATGGGGAGCCTGTCACTATGATGCCTTGGACGAATGTCCGCAAGACACGAGCGGGGCCTTTGGTGATATCGGGGTGTACCAAGGCTGCTTTCACGAAGGCCAAACGCCATGGCTGATTCCGAACAAAAATCAGCAATTCGTCTTCAAGACACCCCACACGACCACGTTTGCCGTAGTGAGGCATCCCTACAACCGAGCCATTGACTTTTACCGCCACTTTTACGATGAACAACAACAGCGGGGAGAGAGTACAGAAGCAGCATTGGCGTGGTTGAAATATCCACAAAACTGGAACGGAACCGTTCCTCCGGCTCAAGTTGCAACCTACTTGGTTGGACGAGAAGACCCCAAAAAGCTAAATATGTTTTTGCAGAATGCAATAGTGAACATACATAGGCCTCACAAGCACACCCCCGTCAGTTTGCCAAAGCAAACATGGTACATGTATGGGAAAGGCGTGGACCGTGTCATTCGGTATGAATCGTTGATACCAGACATGAAGAAATTGTTGGTGGAATTCAACATGACAACGTTGCTGCCGGAGCTCAACAAAGCAACACAACGGGTACCCACGGGAGTGCGCTGGCTAGACGTGCCCGACTTGGACAATGTAACCATTGATATGGTGAATCGGCATTATGGTGTTACCGATTTCAAGCGCTGGTATGCCAAGTCCCAACGCACTGTTCACGTGTCGACCGATGGCTTTTGGAATCGAAGTCAATACATACACCCGGCTCTACACTCGAATACGAAATACATGTCAAAGGTGCTACTGAAACTGAAAAAGCGGGGCTGAGTTTCAGTTGAGGACTTGTTTTGTTGCACCATAAGGCTTCAATCTGACAGGTTGTCACCAGACACAAATTCGATTCAACTCTTAAGTGGCGTGGGTTTCGTGGACTCCCACGTGATTGATGAGCAGCCAGGAAGCCGTTCGGTGGAGTGCACACGATTTTGATTTGACCGCTCGGTTTGGAAAAGGAGCTTACTCTGGCTCACTTTTGCTTTAGCGCAGAAACATCATCATGTCAGACAGCGACAGCGACAACCACAGCGACGGCAACCACAGCGACGGCAACGACAGCGAGGCAATCCTTTCAAGTGGACTCAGTCACTGTAACAGCTGAGCGCTTGTTTGGGAAAGATTGTTATGCTGAACAATTACGATCACTGCGGCCAGGTTACTTCAGATTGAAAGCGTACCGTGATTCTGGCTGCATGCTGTCTCTTGCTCTGTCAGGCGATAGAAATGCTTTCCATACCGACGAAACGATCATCAACGACTTTCTCTGCAAACTAACTCTAAGCGAGCTGAATCAATTGGACTGAAAGGTATGTTCCCGAGTTTCGTTGTACGGTGCAACGTCCAGGAGCCTTTTGTTCTTCTAACCCAACGTTCTTGCGCACCATGATCGTTTGAAGACCGGAAACAGTCTTCTCCATCTTGCGGCCAAATACAATAGAGGCGGACAAAACAACCCTCTTTGCCAATCTACGGGAAGAACCCCAGGAGAGACACGTCACCTTGAGCACAATGTCATCAAGTGGCTCCTAACGAATGAGGGTTTCATTCGCGGTGGGTCGCACTGCAATTCCAATGGCGACACGTGCTTTGTTGAAGCAAAGAGCAAAGGTGAATGAGTCGCTAGACGCGTTTCACGCAGCGATAGGCGCAGGAGTCCTTGATGACATGGTTTCGAAGCTCCAGTTCTTCAGTGAAAACCATAGTGGCAACTTCGGTGGTGCATTCGTGGCTTTCCTGGCTCTTTCACAGTTACTACAAGACAAGCCGTATGCGCAGACCGCCATCAACATTCCAAACGTTGAAGGATTGACTCCATTGGGATTTGCGATCAAGCGGCAGACCAGGAGGATAAATGGTTTTAAGTTCATCTCCTTCAATGATGTGAGAGAGAATCCGATCGACATTAGCATGTCAGATTTCAAAAGTGACTACTCGGAGGCTATTCGGATTGTATTGAGCAGTCCGCATTTGAGGCTGAACCACATGTTTGACGTCCCTATGGATCCAGGACGAGCGTCAAAGCAGGCCCGTCTTGATGACCGGCTCCTTGTCAAAGCCGCATTGCACCCCGAGATTTTCGTCCTTAGGGAATATTGTGATCTGTCCTATCCCTCCCATCTCGAAACCATCTTGAGCGGTGACTTTGGTGGTGTTTCCGAGGAACAGAAGGCAACCACACTTGTTGTTTGCATTGACGAGGAATGGTTTTATGGCTCCCTTGGCCGTTCTCGCGGTACACGTTCCTGCAAATGGTATTTCAACCCGGCATTAGCGTCAAAATTTGGCGGAGGCATACTCCGCAAATTCTTCCGCAGGAACGCTGCTGCATGCTTGTTGGAGATTAGAACTCTTCGAACGAAGCTGGTACAGAAGGCAAGAGATCTACCACGAAAGACGGAAAGCATGGCTGATCTGAAGGGTGAAAGTAACAATGAGAAACGGCGACAATTCATTCTTGATGAAGGAAGGCGAATCAATGAGATTTTGAAGGTGCTCAACTCTGAAATGCCCGACTTTTTCTTGGGTGGGATCTACAGGTGCCTGGCACGCAAGCATCAGATCAACGATGACAATTGGACTAAGATCCTGGAGTTTTCTGGGTGGAATCAAGAGATCATTGATATTGAAAGTCTTCCGGGAATTCCTTTGCCAGCTGATGACTCTGATTCAGATACGGACGAGCATGACTAGATTGGATCATTCCGAAAACAAGTGATGACATAGTAGGATTCAAATTGAGCTCTATCTGGCAAGCATTAGTTTTGTTTTTTAAAAGGTCGAGGTGGCCTATTTCCGACACCCGGCAAACACCTCTACCACTATGTCCATTATGGCAGCAACGGCCCGCTATAACTAGGTTAGCCAGTTACCGAATAGCTCATGGAGATAAGACTCCTTGTAACAGACCGAACCATCGAGTCAAGGCCAAATCTCAACAGGAAGGTGTTTGTGGTTTGTGAGCTTGCCGTGGAGATCTTGACTGCCAGAAGGCCGTGAACGCGTGAACGCCAATCCCCAGCAGCAAGCAGGAACGAGTCATGGTTCCACGAGCTTTTTGTTCCGTGAAACAGTTCCTGGGGAAGCAGCACTCCCATGGCCAAGGGCCAAGCAACCGAACTGCCCCTTGAGGAAAGAGCACTGGTACCGTATGATGTTTCTGGATCTAAATAGTCTAGATCCGCACTCTGTTACTGTACACAGGAAGAACAAAGGAAAAGAAGGCAGCTGTTTCCCAGTTTGGGGGAGAATGTACCTCTAATTCTGAAAATGTCTTCTTCAGTCTGATCTAAATCCTCATGTTCATTAGTTCCTGAAATCGCGGCCAATGGCCGCACAGAAACCACGTCAGAGACCCCGATATCGCTTCACAAACCACAATCACCAATCATCCCAGACCCAGCGGAACATCTCCTCACTCCACACCCCACAGCTGTCAATCATAACTGGTTCCTTTACTGCTGCAGCCTGCAATCCTAAGACCACAACCTCCTGAGCTCATGAGCCTGATTGCCACAAGCCAAACAACCTTAGTCTCTGAAAGTGTTGTTGTAGAGAGGAGTGCCTCTGAGATCCACATCCCC